GTAAAACCAGTTTCGTGTTGGCTGGTTCAAAGGGTGTGATTGATATCGGGGATAAAACCGGCTGGAAAACCCTCGGTTAGCAAAGTCGGTCAAGATAGGTGAAATGGGTCAGTATGATGAGGATGATTGACTATTGGCACTTAAAAGAAAACACCATTAATTCCGAGAATGTTGAGTTGGAAAAAGATTTAAAAAAAACTGGTCAGAATATCCTAAACTTATTTTATTGAATACGAAAGATAGATTATATGTGCATATTCTTTTTAAAATTAATGGTTTTCCACTACCCACATATTTTGTTAAAATTGGTATAAACTGGTAAGACGCAGTCGGATCATACAATTCACTTCATTGGTGTAACATTTTAATCTGATTTGATTATTTAATAAATATAAAAGGATCCCTATTCTAATAGGTTAGGACTTCGGAGGATGATAACAACTAAAATATTGATATCTAGCCCTCATTTCTTGGACATTTCTTATGGATTAGAGCACTCATAGAACACTCATTTCTTAGACATTTTCTTATGGATTAGAGCACTCATAGAAAACGCCATTAACTCTTGATTTGGCCTCAAACTGCTTCCTTTTGTATTTTGGTTGTATTTAGGTACAATGCAGTAAAAAGCGGGATTCTACCTAGAAGTGGAAAATGGGTAAAATCGTAACCGTAGAATCAAAGCGTAAAAACGTAAGTTTTTTACGCATACTGTAAAATAACGGAAAAGGTGTTAAGTACGACATATACTATGTAAAATATAAGTGCACATAGTTTAGATAAGTTAAAAAATACCTGTAATTCATGTCTAAAGTTGAAAAACTCATAACATTTTAACAATAAGTTCATAAACATATATCTTAACCATAAGCTACCTTCCCCTCTAAGCTAGTGATTTTGGGAAGGGCCTAGTTGGTGAATTAGATTTACTCTATTGAAACTAAGAATGCACCCAAGTACTTGATATGTATCTTTCAATCTTAAATATATAATATTTTTTTTGTGATTTACCTGTAAAATATAAGTATTTTCATGAATAGAATACTCCTTTAGTAAACTAGAAGCGTAAAAGCGTAAAGCGTTTTAGTGAACCAGAAGCGTAAAAGCGTAAGCTTTTAAGCTTTAAAGCGCATTTTAGTCCTGATTTTATACACTTAAGATTTTATATGGAAACGAAAGCGTTTTAGTGTTCTAGACGCGTAAAACCGTAAGTTTTTAAGTTTTAAAACGCGATTTTGACTGCATTGTTTAGGTGTCATTTCAGGTTTTTAAGTATTTTTGTCAAAGAATCCGAGCTCAAGTGTAGAGAAAGATATATACGTTGTGTCAAGCACTACAAATTTTATTCTATGAAATTTTATAAAAGATGGCACCCTTTTTGAATTTTAGAGATCTTGAGCATTTAGATTGATGGGTTAATACTTTATTTTGGCTCGAACTATGACCATATAATCAACTTTGACACGTGGTTTCAAAAATTAATATCATGGCCTCAACTATGCACCATGTAGACTTAAATGGCCCGACTCGTGAATTTCCGTCAAATTAGACGGTCAACATCATTGACCGTTAGTGATCACCATGCTACGCTGACGTGGATGCAATTTGGAAAATAATAATTTAATAAAATAAAATAAAATCCTCATTCTCTCTCTCCTCACTCAGCCCACACAGCCTTATCGTTACCCAACCCTTCTTCCCCGACGATCCTTTCCCAACCCTTAGCCCCACACTCTCGGTATGCAATACCCCAGCTCCCTCTTCTTCGTTTCTGATTCACCAACTACTTCGGCGTCAGCTGCGACCCCGCCACCGGCCGCGTCACCAAAATCAACCTCCGCGGCGAGTCGGAGGATCCAATCCTCACAAAATTCGGGCTGACCTCCGACTACATGACCGGGACCATTTCCTCGCCATCTGCAAGCTCGGCCAGCTCGCCACGCTCATCGTCGCTGACTGGAAGAGCCTCCCTGGCGAGATCCCGTCTCTTCGCTCTCGAACCTCCGCGTCCTGGATCTCGTCAGTAACAGCCACTCCGGCCAGATCCCCTCCCAAATCGGCAACCTCGGCCGCCTCGTGGTACTCAATCTCGCCGACAACAGAACCTCGGGGGAAATCATGACCTCGGTTTCGAAATTGGAGTGCTTGAATCATCTCGAACTGAACAACAACCATATCTACGGATGGATCCCCACCGATTTACGCAATTTGAAAATGCTCAGCCTCGCACTGCTTGGCAGGAACCAGTTGGCTGGTCCCATTCCCGACTCCATTCGGTGGGACGGCGAGTTCGCGACGATGTTCAGGTTTCTCTACTGGCTGAACGGGTGTTCTACGACAACAACGCGGTGAGGGAGGCACTAGTGGAGCTTTGCCGGCTAACCTTGAAAGGTGGAAGCGATCTTCAAAGGGAAAACCTTCCTGGGAAATATGGTGGGTGCTTTCAATGGCTCATTTGAATTAGGGAGAATGCTGCTCGTAGGGGAAGAAGGGAGAAGAAGAATGATTAGTATTAGGGATTTTTTTGGTTTTGGTCGAAGAAGGAAAGAGGCGAGGGGTGGCCGATTTTTTTGTTTTTTGTTTTTTTTAATTAGGTAAAGGAAATAATAAAAGAAAATTGAAAATTCTGTTTTTTTTTCCTGACATGGTGGTGACCTGTACAGTTGACTAACGGTCAATGATGTTGACCGTCCAAACAAACGGCTAAATCATGTTTTCGGCCAATTGAGTATATATGCTGCAAAGTTCGGGCCAAGATGTTAATTTCTCAAACCACTGGCCAAAATTGATTATATGGTCATAGCTCGGGCCAGAATAAGGTATTAATCCTAGATTGATTTTTCACCTTTCAACATATATTATCAAAATATTTCATAACATAAGTTGTAGCGTGAACAATATAGTTTTGGCGTGAATGGGTATGAGTATGCGTGAATCTAATAATTTTGGCATGAATAAGTACGAGTTTGTGTGAATCACACAATTTCAGCGTGATTTGGTATGAGTACGGCGTGGATCACATAGCTTTGGCGTGATAAGTTGCGTGAATGTTAATTTGATTATAACATCAATATGTATCATGTAGATTTATAAAGATATAGACATTGTGTCAAGTACTACAAGTTTTATTAGATGAGATTATGACTATTTTTAAAAGAGGGCATCCTTTTTGGATTTTGGAAATTTTGAGAATAATTTTAGAATGATTTTTCAATCTAAAATTATATTATTATGTAAATTAATTACTATTTAAAGATTAATGTCTTAATAATTACTTTTACTAACTTGTATTTATAATCATTTAAATTTTTATGTTATTATTTTGTGATAACCTTCTATAAATGTGAAAAATAATATAATTTACTTACTTTTCTTCTTATTTGAACCTACTTTTTTATTTTAAATACAACTTTTCCCTCCACTTACGCACCTACCATTTACACCTCTAACATTACCGCACTTTCCTCCTTGACTAGCATCTCTCTAATTTGCACCCTAACTGTCAAATATAGTGTAAAAGATAAAATAAACAAAAGTACCAAATAATTGTCTTCTCCATACATATTCATATCCATAAGGGGCGTACTATTTGTAGCCCTAAATTGTCTTTATTTGTAGCCCTAAATTATAAAAAGTACAATAATATCCATCACATTTAAATACATTTAGTTCACACATTCCAAGACCAAAATATTCAAACACTTTCTAAAAACACAATCCTACAATACTCGCCGCCGGCGAAAGCCACCTCCCGCCGGCGACCGCACCTCCCGCCGGCGACCGCCACCTCCGATGGCCTGAAGTCATGCCGGAACATCGCCGGCGATGAACGAACGTCCTGCCGGGACGTCGCCGGTTTTTTATTTTATTTTTAATTTTCTGTTAATTTAAATTTGTGAAGTATATTAAATTTTTTAAATAGATATTAATTTAGATTTTTTGGTTATCATTTTAGATTTTTTTTATAATAGATTGATGAATGATTTAGATTTTTAAGAATATTTAATTATTTTGGGAGAGAAGGGATGTTTGGTTGGAGTTGTAACAAGTTCAATATTTTAAAAGGAATGGAGGGTAAAATGGTAATTACATTCTCCTAAGGCTACAAATAAAAAAAAATTAGGGCTATAACAATTCAGATCCAGAAAGGGATTGCCATACAAACCAAATTCCCTCTCTAGTTATTTATCTCCATTGAACTTTCTCCAAATCGGTATCAACCAGATTTGTTCCTTTATAGGATCAAAGCATTTCAAACAATGACATTCATTTGCAATTTTATAAGCCGTCCCTACTTCCACGTTTACAACTTTTTTTAAAAACATCATCTCAGAATTTCATCTTAATTTACATCAATGAAATTTTATTGCAATTTTAATTGATGGGACCAAAAAATTAATTTAATATAACTAAATCATCTATACACCATCTCTATAATTTTAAACCCTTAAAATATATAAACTAATGAATATAAAATGGCCCATCAAAGGCTGTTTGAATTGCAATAAAAAAATTGCACAATGCGCAAATTTACTCACTTATAAGTTATAATGACATCACACATCAATGACACTTTAAGTTGCAATTGCAACCCCTTACCACATCAATGGCACTTTAGAATTGCATCGTTGGAAATGCTCATAGAACGATCAACCCACCAGACCTTAATCGCCCACCAAATACTTAATTTGACCCTAATAATAATAGAGAGAAAACAGCCACTCAAATTTTAGAATATTGTTCACCTCAATGCGCTGAATAAATCAACCTAGATTTACATATCTCGTGTTCCCTAAAAGAAAATATTACTGAAACTTGTCAAATTGGACTGTTCGACAACCCTTCAAAACTTCTACATCCAACTAGGATCAAACACCCTCGCGTTAATCAGTGAAAAGAAGAAACGAGAACAAAAGAATCAAGCACCATGAAAGTAGGTGGACAACGAAAGAGCAAGAGATGTAAAACCTATGAAGTATCTCAACTCAACATCATCTTTCCTAGATATATTTGACCATTGCATCTTTGGAGATACGCTTATATGATAACAACTCACTCGAGAATTCTAGAATCTTGTCAGCCGACAGGTTAACTGCACACTTAATCGAGATCACACGAAGTTGTGGGGCAGTGGCCATAACAAACCTCACCAGGTCCAGCTCGACTCGTGTTCCTTGGCCATAATTAATGTGCAACTCTTCAAGATGTTGAAGGCAACAAACTCCAGGTCGGTCCTCTGCGTCCAATAACTCCTGTAGGCTATCGATAACCTCTGAAGGCGGCTGGGTAGTACTAGTATCCAGCTAAAAGAAAGATTTGTTAAAAGAAGAAAAAAACAAGTCAAAGACTGAAGAGTTAATAACAAATGTCCCCACAAATATAGCCTACAAAAGAAGTGTGAAAACCAACCCGAATGGTGAGCTTTTGCAAGCTGGGGGAACTCATGATCAGACAAATAAGAAACCGTGCTTGTGGCAAGTTGTCCAGAAGAAGGCGAGTTATTTCAACGACGTTTAATTGGCAGAGAGTCGTTGATATCTTGCAGGGAGCATTACCCAATTCAGAGAACTGCAGAAAGCAAACAAATAGAGGCAACGAATCAGTACAGAAACCAGGTGCTTCCTGGAAGCGGTAACCACATTCATGATGAACGAATATAGACACGAATTGATCAACTTACTTTCAGCGAACTAATTCCAAAAGTCAGCTGCCTGAGCGCAGGGAGAGAAGCAAACCGTGCAAACCAATCTTTAGACCCGCAACGATTTGGAAGTGATAGCACTGAAAGCACTGGAGCATGCTGGATCGTACACACCGAGCCCAAAACATGCGTGTGAAATAAAAACACTTTTAGAGATGGCGCGTTAAGAACATATTTTTGCTTGCTAGAGTTAATAAACCGCAACTCTTCAAGCAGGGGGCACACCGGCAGTAAATTCTGAAGGAAATCTTCAGGCATGATAACATGTTCAAGCTCAAGAATGACCAGCTTACGAAATCCCACAAAAGAAGATGGTGCGCCAACACTACAATGCTGCAGTTTCAAAACAGTCAGGTGACATGCGGTAAACAGGGAGGAAGGCAGCTTGATCTGGCCCACGGAAAACCGAAGAGCAAGTTCCTGGACACCTTTGCTTGCAAGGTGAGGAATCAACTTATAAATCTGTTGACAATCTTCTCTCAATCCAGGAATTGAGAGCTCAAACTTGGTTACTCGACCATCATGAACCAGCAGAGCTTCGTAAATGTCCACCATTACCTTTTTCTCATCTGGCAAACATGGTCCAGTATTGGGGAGTGGAGCAAAACTACCGTCGAACACAAGTTGAGGAATACTTCTCCAATGATGCCTCCAGTTTCTTGACAAGATGCTGGTTCTCGCTGCATCTTTTATGGGCAACAGCGTCAGAATTTGCTCTATCGCATTGGCTGGAACGTTGCTAATCCTATCAGGAGTCGACTCGCCCAGCTCCATAATCGTAGCTTTACACTACCTGCAACCAATTCAAGAGATGGATTCTCTGCTCAGCTTCATAACACGCAGCTTCTCGCTTGAAGGAGAAGAAACAGAGAGAATGGAGCCACGATGTAAGAACCCTAAAAACCCAATGTTGCTTCCTTTTTATACGCTAAACCCTCAAGGGCAGAGAATCAAAGATGTTTCCATAAGACACGCCGCTTTTCTGAGAATGCAAAGAGGGCAAAAAGACCCGGAAAAGAATGAAATAAAAAGGAATAGATAGAATCCCATCAATACTGAAATACCTTTGTGACCACTGTCATCTAGGCCTGTCCAATCAGTTTCGGGTTTTCAGGTTAAACCGAACCCGAACCGAAAACACAGATGGCGGTTTCGGTTTTTCGGTTTCAAACCGGACCAGTAAGTAGCGGTTTCGGTTTTGGTGTAACCCGAAAACCGATAAAAACCCGGAAAACCCAAAACTGCTTGGAGTGAACGGTGACGTTTTCTTGGATAAGGAACTCTTAGGGTTCGCCGTTCGCGTTTGGGGAAGGTTTCGTCACTTCGACTGGAGAGTGGAGACGACTGCTCGTGCTCGAGGTTTCGCGAAACAGAGCTCCTTCTCAGCCGCCGTCAACGTCCTTGCCACCGTCAACATCCTCACCGCCATCAATCTCCCGATTCGCCTTCCCTCCGCCTTCCACCAATGCATCAATCCATCTGGGTTCGAGGCTTCAATTAGGCTTCGCGAAACAGAGCCTCCCAGTCCCTTCTCAGCCGCCGTCAACGTCCTCGCCACCGTCAACGTCCTCGCCGCTTCGCTCTTCACCTCGGGAAGGAGAGACCCAGTGCCCTGCCCACATTCTTTTGACGACTCCACCATGGAATCCCAGTGAGTTCTTCCTCGCACTTTGTTTCAGTCCATTCGTTTTTCAATTTTTGTTGGTTTTGGAATTGGGGAAGCTTTCTGAACGAGGTTACGATGAGGATCCACGCTCCCTCTTCTGATTTTAAATTGAGGAAATCAGCTGGCAGAATCGAACCTAATATGAGTATCCTCTTTGGCTTCCCCATTTTTGAAATCTTGAGAAAATGTCGAGTTTTGTATCAATTTCATAATCTTTGGTTTTCAACATCAATTGGGTTTCCTTCCATTGTCGTTTCTGTTTTCAGAATTTGTTGAGATGGGGATGATTCATATATCACAATCGAACACTTGATCTGATTGGCAATTGATCAATTGTCAAGTAATGTCAAGATATTTGCTTGCTGAATCTCTACCATTTAAAAGTTTACTGCTTTTACATTCGTCTCTCTGTTTATAGAATACATAAAATTAAATATTTTAATAATTAACTAATAAGAATAAAATTGTTTGTACAAATAATAATAATAATATTTTAATAATTAACTAATAAGAATAAAATAGTATGTTTTATGTTTAAGAATGTACAAATAATAAGAATAAAATTCTTTGTACAAACAAAAGAATATAAAAGTCAAATTACAAAAATAGTATAAAAAAAACCCCGGTTTGGTTTCGGGTTCACCCGAACCGACCCAAAACCGCCAGTGATTTTTCGGGTTTCTGAACCCGCAACCCGCAGTGTACAAAGTCGGTTTCGGTTTCGGGTTTTGTGGGAGTCGGTTTCGGGTTTCTGTTTTCGCGGGTTTCGGGTTCGGTTACCCGAACCGAACCGACAGGCCTACTGTCATCTAACGTCTGAGAATACACGATCCCTCCCGTACAACGGCTCCACGTGTCTCCTCGTCGGGTAACAAACCTCCATTCAGCCGTACTGTGGGTATCTGCCCGTCACAGAGAAGGGTATCCCACTGCACCAGCCGGGGTCGTATCTACACAAAAGCTGCGCAAATACTAACATGCACAGGCTAAGGCCTGCCCAGAAACTTCCTTAAACCTCTTTTTCTTCAAAAGCTGAGTAACAACACCCTTGGAGTGTCGGAAAAGAAGGAAAGCTAAACATCTTCACATCATGCAGTACCCAAGAAGTTGCAGTGATCCCACGGTTAAACTGTGAGGGGAGAGCTACAAAGTCCCGGCATCATTGTTCCAAGCGTTAACCTTTGCGTCTATCGACACACACTTTATATCCATTCACCTCCGTCAGGTATTTGACAACATCACAACACCTGAAGTGTCCAATTTACGCCAAGGTCTGATGTTGACTCAGCCAAGACGCGGGGCATTGGCTAATATAAACCTCACCAGCTCCATTTCTACCCGCAAGCCTCGGCTTTCCGGAATGTCCAACACTTGACGACACCAAGAACAACTACGGTATACATCAGACAGCAGCTCCTCTGCTTCCAACAACATCTTATGTAGGCTGCCAATATAATATTTGTACCATGAATGGTCTTCTACGGTATGAAACTACAAGAAGAACATTTGGCGAGAAAATCAGTTAAGAGAGTAAATTGAACCAACAATAATCAGTATACAATAAGACCACTAATGCCAATGGTGAATATACAACACTTGAAGAAATAAAACACCAACTTGCCTTAGTAATTATGGATGGGGAGATAAAGATTGGTTCCCAAATATGACATCTGACTACCTTGAAGAGCATTTTGCAAGAAAATGTGCCCTGAGATAGTCTTTGGTTATTCATTTTCTATTTTCTTTAAGAGAAAGAAGACTGGGAAGTCTAATGATGGTGGGAGCTCTGCTAATGGGGGAGTAATGCTAGTAGATGAATAATAAAGAAACTTACAACCGTCGTCACAAGCTACTGAAAAAACAGACTTACTCGAATGGTGAGTCAAAGCAAGTTGGGGGAGCTCATGATCAGAGAAATAAGAAAACGGGCTTCCAGCAAACTGTTCAAGAATAATGAGGCCTTTCCGGGACGTATAAGTGGTGAAGAGGTGAAGGAAGCCTGGTGGGAACATTATCACTTGCAGCAAGGTACTAACAAATACAAAGCAACAACATGAATGAATGAAAGAGGAGACAAACCCAGGCAGACAATTTGAACAAGTCGAGAGGGGGAGAAAAGCAAGCTTACTTTCCCAAATTCACAGCCAATATTTAACTGTTGCAGTGCAGGGAGGGAATCAAAAATAGTGACAATATCAGGATCATTATTGCTCCCAACTGGGAAGCAAGTTATCAGTAGCTAAAATCCGGAATTGTTACCACTGAAAGAAGTTGGGTCAACTTGAGCCAATTGACATCCATTCACACTGAAGAGAAAGCACTTTAAGATGGGGAGCTACAATCTCAAGTTTACCAACTGAGCATAACTTCAAAGCCTCAATCCTTCAAGCAGCGGACACTTGGAATGACATTCTCAAAGAAATCATCCGATTCTTGCCAAAAAAAAAAAATCATCCGACAGCTGCAATCCTTTCAATACAAGACGGGTAAGCTTGCTAAATCCCACAAACCAAATCGTTGCCAAAATGTTCAACTTCTGGAAGCACGAGACTAAATTCAGGGACCCATGGTGAAGAATCATCCAATTGGTATCAGAACATGGGGTCAAGCCAGGAATGTCAAGAAAAAACTTCGGTTTTGACCCATCATGAATCATCATAACCCTTTGAATCTTCGTCATTACCTCATTCACATTCGTATCAGTATTGCGGTCCTGAGGAATGCGAGCAAAATCACCATCGAAAACAAGCAGGGGAATGATTTTCTGTAGATACCTTTACATACTTGACAGCCCAGCTGCTTTGATCACATATTCTATAGGTAAGAATGCGAGAATGCGCTGCAACACGTCGGCGGGAAGGTTGCTGATTCTATCAGCGTTCAACTGGTGTCCCTCTCGGCTGATCTGCTCCATCCTGCCTGAGTCTGTGTACTGAATAGACTTGAATCACACGGATAATCGTGTTTGATTCCCAAATGAGAATGAGGAATTCTACACATACATAGAGTGGGAAATGATGGCAAAACCCTAGGACCCCTTTTCATGGCCGAGAATGAAACAAGGAGAGACTCTGAGAAATGACCGACAGAGTACGCCGTCGAGCGATAGTGATAGACTGATAGTAGTGTGAATCACTGATGCTGCTACTAAACACAAAACGACACACCTTTTGGCCTCTCTTTTCTACTTACGACGACTTGTGATGTCGTTTTGCCTCAATGGATACAAGAGTTTCCGGTTCCAACTTGTAGGGGTGTTCAAATGGTTACCATGGTTATTATTACCAATCCAAATAAGGCTAAATTTCATTAACCATGGAATACAATATCATAACCAAACCGTCCAAACTAATACAACAACCAAATTAACCAAACTAAAGTTTAATCGGTTTGGTTAATTGGTTAACCAGATTAACCAATATAAAATCATATTATCATTAAGTGAGAAATATTTCGGTTAATTTATCAATTCACAATTTATATAATAAATAAAACATAACAATCAACACATAGTTATAGTTGACCCTTAGCATAAATACATGCAACTAAGATAATTATCTTACGGTTAGTATAGAAGTATTCACCTAACAAAAATTTATCACAATGGTATGGGTTAATGAATTGTTGTGCTTGTTTGAATTGACTTAGTCTTTTAGCAATTTTTATTGGCTGAAAAGGAACAATACAAGCTTTATATTTTATGAATCTAAAAGAATGAACGTTTAACTCTTGAGTGGTTATTCAAAATATTAAGTATGTGTATATATTAGATATATGGCTAATTATTTATCTGGTTAATTTGGTTTGGCTGGTTAGGAGTGTCTGAAACCAAACCAAACCACCTAAACCAAACAAGGTAAAAACTTTAACCAAACCAAACCAATTATTCAAATTAACCAAACCAAATTATCCAAATAGTACTGGTTAAAACGGTTACCATGGTAACCACACCATTTGAACACCCCTAGCCCAAAAGTCGCCGATTTGGGCTGATTATTCGCCGGAGGGCATTTTCGTAATTTTTATCAGTTTTTCGAAAGATCGTTTTCCTTGGATTTTGAAGGTTACAGATCACAGATTCAACCTCATGCTATACTTCACTGATGATTAAGTATATTGAGCACCGATTCGGGCGGATTTTTTCCGGGGCCGTTTTTGGCAGATTCCAAAGGGGTACCATCACCGATTTCGGTCGATTTTTACGAAATGTCGTTTTTCATGGATTTTGAAGGCTTAAGATCACGGATTCGGCCGGAGGCTATTCTCCACCGATGATAAAGCCCAAAAGTCGCAGATTTGGGCTGATTTCTCGCTGAGGGCATTTTCATAATTATTGGTCGGTTTTTCGAAAGACTGTTTTCCTTGGATTTTGAAGGCTACAGATCACAGATTCAGCCTCAGGCTATACTTCACTGATGATTAAGTATATTGAGCACCGATTCGGGCGGAGTTTTTCCGAGGCTGTTTTTGGCAGATTCCAAAGGGGAACCATCACCGTTTTCAGGCGATTTTTACGAAATGTCATCTTTCATGGATTTTGAAGGCTCAAGATCACGGATTCGGCCAGAGGCTATTCTCCACCGATGATAAAGCCCAAAAGTCACCGATTTGGGCTGATTATTCGCCGGAGGGCATTTTCGTAATTTTTGATCGGTTTTTCGAAAGACCGTTTTCCTTGGATTTTGAAGGCTACAGATCACATATTCAGCCTCAGGCTATATTTCACTGATGATTAAGTATATTGAACACCGATTCGGGGGGATTTTTTCCGGGGACGTTTTTGGCATATTCCAAAGCATCACTGATTTCGGGCGATTTTTACGAAATGTCATTTTTCATGGATTTTGAAGGCTCAAGATCACGGATTCAGCCGGAGGCTATTCTCCATCGATGATAAAGCCCAAAAGTCGCCGATTTGGGCTGATTATTTGCCGGATGGCATTTTCGTAATTTTTGGTCGGTTTTTCGAAAGACCGTTTTCCTTGGATTTTGAAGGCTACAGATCACAGATTCAGCCTCAGGCTATACTTCACTGATGATTAAGTATATCGAGCACCGATTCGGGCGGATTTTTCCGGGGCCATTTTTAGCAGATTCCAAAGGGGTACCATCACCGATTTCGGTCGATTTTTACTAAATGTGATTTTTCATGGATTTTGAAGGCTCAAGATCACGGATTCGGCCGGAGGCTATTCTCCACAGATGATAAAGCCCAAAAGTCGCCGATTTGGGCTGATTACTCGCTGAGGGCATTTTCGTAATTTTTGGTCGGTTTTTTGAAAGACCGTTTTCCTTGGATTTTGAAGGCTACAGATCACAGATTCAGCCTCAGGCTATACTTCACTAATGATAAAGTATATTGAGCACCGATTCGGGCGGATTTTTTCCGGGACCGTTTTTGGCAGATTCCAAAGGGGTACCATCACCGATTTACTCGATTTTTACGAAATGTCATTTTTCATGAATTTTGATGGCTCAAGATCACGGATTCGGCCGGAGGCAATCTCCACCGATTATAAAGCCCAAAAGTCGCCGATTTGGGCTGATTATTCGCCGGAGGGCATTTTCGTAATTTTTGGTCGGTTTTTCGAAAGCCCGTTGACCTTGGATTTTGAAGGCTACAGATCACAGATTCAGCCTCAGGCTATACTTCACTGATGATTAAGTATATTGAGCACCGATTAGGGCGGATTTTTTCCGGGGCCGTTTTTGGCAGATTTCAAAGGGGTACCATCACCGATTTCCTTCGATTTTTACGATGAGTTATGGTCTCGAATCATACCCATGCTCCTCGAATTAAACTCCAAAGTAGGCTTCACAAAACTGTTTCTAGACTTGGCCATTTTCTAGCAGTTTTCCAGTTTTGAGGTAGCAACTTTGAGGCCTTGGAAAACAACCTTAATGACTTCTTCTAGATCCAAAAAGCATATCATTGGAAAGATGACAACTTTATATTCCAAAGAAGCCCTTGAAATCCAATTTTCAATGAGCCAATTGTGAGAACCATGCCTCCAAAGTAGGCATCTCGAAACTGTTCCAACACTTGACCAAATTCTGCCTTTCTTCTTCCCAATTTCGACAGCTTCTTTGTCAAGTAATTGTGACGTGAATGGTTGGCAATTTGGGATCATATCAGAAAAGAAAAGAAAAAAAGAACATAACAACGGTCAAAAAACAACTTTAAAATAACCTATTATAAATTAAAGATAACAAAAATGGGCACACGGCAGCAACAACCACAAAGTAACGGTCATAACGTAACGTCTTTTTTTTAAGATAAGACGACCTAATGAAAATATTAAATAAAAATATCATTAAATGCACAGATTTCTTCCCTTGTGGAGCGTACCTAGACTCTTTCCTTTGAGGACCAAATAGTTTATAGGTGGCACCATTGAGACACAGTTGACACAACTTCTGGGGCTTAACTAGTTTCGAGTTTCGTCTTCTCAAACCTGCTGAAAGTTTGCTCATCATCCTAGAGCCACCCTCGAAGAGGTAATGTGATTCATCAATTCGTTCCATTTCACAAGTTCCGGGCTTTTTTCTTCGCCGAATCGGTTTCCTCACTGGTTAAATGTTATATCTCGTTTCTATACATATAACTGGTTGGACCCTGTTTCTTGTTCCTCTGATTTGGGTGCAGTTATAATATGGTCAGGAAGAAGATGGTTCCGAAGCCAAAGGTTGATCGAATTAGTAAGCTTCCTGTCCATCTTATACAGCTTATTCTCACGTCATTGCCCATAAAAGAAGCTGGGAGAACAAGTGTACTGTCGAGAGAATGGAGGCACCATTGGAAAAGTATCACCCACCTTGTGTTTGATAAAGATTTTGATTCACCAGTTTATAGTGATTCTGATGATGAAGAAATTAGTGCTAATAAGCTAATGTCCAGCATCCAGAAAACTCTGCAGGTTCATGATGGGCCTATAACAGAGTTTGTGCTTTCGAATTATCGGTTAACAACTACTGTCGAGATCGACCCCTTGATTTCACACCTTATCGAGAAAGGGGTCTCGCGCCTTTCCCTTCTGTACTGTTGTCGCGATGACAGTCTACAGTATGAAGACGAGATCGACCCTTCCCTTTTTCGTGCTGTTCAAGTGGACAGGCTCAAACTGCAGGGATGTGAACTTGTCGAACCATCTTGGTTTACGGGATTTACCAGGCTGACCTCTCTTCACTTGGACATCGTTGGTCTGCCCGAAGATTTCTTCGATAGTTTCCTTCTGAACTGTCCCCTGCTTGAGGATTTGAGGGTTTTCTACTTTCGGGGTCTTAATACAGTTGAAGTTGAGGCTCCACCGCGCCTCAAAGTGTGTGTCCTGAGGGCGGATCTCGGTTTAGTTGATATTAGCTTCAGCTATGCTCCACTTCTGTCTGTTGTCTCAATTCATGCGGAAGAGTGCGGGGACGAACCTGAAACAGATATGGTCTCTTTGTTTGCTTCTCTCCCGGCACTCCAAAGGTTTTACATTAGCTTTGAGTGCCTTGAAGTAAGTTTTGTTCGTTAAACAGTTGTGACCTCTTTTCGTAGTCCCGAAATGCTTGGATTTGCGCTTCTCAAATCTGTGTTTGGTTTTCTTTTATAGTTACTTGCTGCAGGTTCTGTTCCCGACAGGCTTCCTGTTGCGCTTCACTGCTTAGAAGTTCTTGACATTCGCAAATGTGACGATGAAGACAGTTCGCTTGAGCTGGAGGCTGTCCTTTGTCTCATCAGAAGTTCCCCCAACTTGAATAAACTTACAATTAAGGTTGGTCTTGTGATAGATCTTCTCTACATCATACCTTTTGCACTACATACGACTGTGTTCACTGTCCAGGCTTGCTTTTTTTTTTATGTATTTTCTTCAATAGTCTAAATTTGTGCATTCGTTATACGCTTGCAGATGGAATTTGATGGAGACTTGCGTTTTACGGGGGATTTGAAGCTGTCGGAACGCGAACCAGAGGCACATCCTGAAGATGAAGATAGCTTCTGTCAGCGTCTTGAAGAAGTCGACATTCGGCTTAGTGGATTCTCCCAGGTTGAGCTGGACCTGTTGAGGTTCGTGTTGGCCAACGCCCCGCTGCTGAGAAGGATTGTCATTCAGCCTAAGAGCAGATTGAGGTGGGAAAAATGCCTCAAGTTCCTGGGAGAGATTAAAGAGTATAATTGTGCTTCAAAAAATGTAGAGATCATATATGTGAACAAGTCTGAAGTGATGTTCTTCAGTATGAGACTGGCAAATGTTTAACTAATATTATTAAGGTCCTTGGATCACGGGGGAGCCATGCTTAGTTGTTCTGGTCAGAAATTACTTTATAGCTCTATTCTGGGACAACAAGACTACAAAGAGTGCCATTATATACAATACAGAGAAAATATGAAGCACAAATGATGGCTTCCCGCTCCTCCTCCACAAACTTCAGTTTCGATTCGTAGAGCGCAGTATTCAAGTAGTGTGTTTCCTTACATATTTGCATAGACCGCATTCCAATCGTATATAACCTCAGCTTCCTTCGATGCATGCTTGAATCCAATCACCTTTTTTAGGTGTCTGACAACTCTTAAACAACCCATATCAGGACTAGGCCTAATGTAGACTCTGCGAAGCTGCGGGGCTTTGGCTAAAACAAACTTCACAAGCTCTAGTTCTACTGGCGACTCACAGCCTAGGCTGTTGTGAATGTTCAATGATTCGAGACAACCTAGGCAACTATTCGTCCCATAAGGCTCCAGTTCCGCTGCTTCGAGCAACATCTGTATGCTGTTAATACGGGTTATTGGACGACTTCGTTGTTGCCCCATATCGTGCTATAAGAACATTTGTCCAAATAAGTCAAAATTGTGTAGTCAGGCAGGCATAGCAAAAGTGATTGTAGAATTTCGGATTTAGAACACCGCAAAGAAACCAAATGGTTGTGTAATCACACAAGAACATATAGTATAAGCCATAAGGCAACCACTTCAATTCCAAAATTCAAAGTTGATCACAACTGCAAGAAAAGAACTGTGAAGAAAAACATACCCGTATGGTGAGGCAGCGCAGGTTGGGAGAACTCATGATTAGACAAACAAGAATCCTCGCATCCTTCAAACAAGACAGAATAATCTTTGGTATTTCAAGTACTGTCAAGTGTTGAAGAAGAGTAGGAAGCCTGGCGGGGATACTGCCCCTAAGTGACTACAACAAACACAGTAAGATAACCAGAATGAGTAAACAGAGAGAAACCACCAAGGCATGCAAGGTTGAGCAAGCTAAGTAGCAGAAGGAGAAGGCAAACTCACTATAAGAAGTTCAAGACCAAGATTCAATTGCTTGAGTGCAGGAAGGGAAGCAAATACATTGACCATATCCATATCGTCACCCTCAATGACAATCGCAGACTGATAGTCATTTTCATCAGGATCCAGCATGGATACCAAGGAAAGAAGTGGGGTGCACTTAAAGGAAAATGATACCAGGAAACTAGAATGAAAGAAAAGCGCTTTGAGGCGAGGGGCAACAAGCTTAGGAGATTTAAAACCATGACAGTTCAAAAGCGTCAATTTTTCAAGCAGAGGGCACTTGGTGATGAATTTCTCAAAGAAATCCGAGTCCAGAGCTACTTCTTTCAGTTCCAGAGCGGTAAGCTTGCTAAATCCAACAGTCAGTGATGTCTGTATAACTGGTCCAGTTCCAGGAGCCCAGACACGTTTCTCACCAGCGGGTCCACGTTACGGCATTCCCCGAATCGAAGGCTAAATTCATCGGTAACTTTGTCAGAGAGATACAAAATAATGTGCTCAATCTCAGGACAGGGTCTCAAACCTGGAACCGAAAGGACAAACTTGTCTACCGGCCCATCATGGAGCAGCAGAACTCTGTAAACTTTCATCATTAGCTTGTTTAGCTTGACTTGACTGGGAGACGCCAGAGGGATTCTACCAAACTTACGATCGAACACGAGTGCTGGAATGCTTCTCCAACGGTTCCTCCATTTCTTGGACCACAGGCTTGCTTTTGCTGCTTCTTTAATGGGCATCGAGATCAGAATTTGATCTGTCACGTTGGCTGGAAGGTTGCTAATTCGATCAGCAGTTGACAACTCGCAGCTGCAGCAGGCCCTCTTCATCATTGCAATATCTTCTCCATACAAAAATAACATAACAAACTATGATGAGAGAACTTCAATTCGGAAGAGAGCTCGTTAGAACCAATTCATGAACTTTCAGAACATAAAGCGGTGAGGTAATTACCTTGTTGAGATTGAGTTCCCGCGTAGATTTGAAAACCCCAAAATCAGTAAAGCCCTAAACTCCTCCGTCTAGCGCTGGCAATCAGTTCCCTAGAGTAACCTTCACCCCGTTGCCGACGGCTTACCGGCGATTGTTCCCTAGAGTAAAGATCCTTCCAACGTTGCTAATCACCGATTCTCGTCACTCCCTTGGCGCAACAGTCGGTCTTTGCGCCGCCGTCCTTTTCTCACCGGCGGTATAATCCAGATCCGTCCAAACGCCGGTCACAATTCTTCTGATTCTAGTCGTCTCTACCGTAGATCTCTGGCGCTACCATCTGAAGCTATTTCGTTCAGCTGCCGAGAGCAATGGAAATAGGGGATCAGATAAACATGAGAGAGATGAAACTACTCTGCTGGCCAATAATGCCGCTTTCTTTTTTTTTTTTTTTTAAACTTTTTTACCAATTTTTGGAGGTTCGTATAGCAAAGAGGCCACCGTACTTTGTATCCATTACAAAAACACCCCCTGAACTTCCATATCAAACAAGAAATATTTATGCAAATTAGACTCTTTTATCGACATGTTGATTAGTATTAATTGCCATATTTACGTTTCAATTTCTTGTATTCTCATATCAATTTACTATCTGCTATAGCAACAACAACAACAACAACAAATCTGCAACTTTCATGCTTAATGCACTTGATTGTTCTTGTTACGTTAACAGGATCTTCCTATTTCCTATGTATCTAATCATCTGAATTTTTACATATAGATTTTCGCTGGGAATCCTTCTTGCTCTTCAAAGTTAACCAATATAAAGTTGCAGGATTAAAAAGCGAAAAGCGAAATGTATATCAAGATCTTATTCAAAATGACTAAAAATCTCATACATAATTTTAAACGTATAATATCATAATATAATGTGAACTTTGGTCCAAATTTTCAAATTAAATAATGATGTCTGAATTTTCAAAATGATTAAAAAACATAAGGTCGATTCTTGGGTTTAATTAGTAAAATTCATGATCAATTATTGATCCTACGATTAGTGGCTAATCGTTTTATTGCTTCGTCTAGGCGTATTGGTGGATTCCCTTAGAGGGGCGGTGCTTTGGGATTGTCATCAGTTAGTTGATTTTGTCTGATTGTATAAAGTTTAGAGCGGTTCCTCGAACCGAAAACGGCGTTGTTCATAAAGTGACATGTAAAGTCATGTCATTATCTCTTTTAAAGTTAGTTTCATTTGATTTCATGTGGTGATGATTTGGCCAAGGTATTGCTTTGAGAGGGTTCATGGGTAGTTCCTTCTGTATTTATAATTCTTTCTCTTTTTATTATTACTTGGAAAAAAATCATTTTATTTGAATGCAAGATCCCAAGGAGTCATTTGCATGGGTCATTTGACGCCAAATAACTTATTTGCCAAGAAAAACAAACCGAGTTATTTGTAAATGATTGACCCCCAAATTCCCAATTTAGTCATTTACAAATGACTCATTTTTTCATCATCACCTTTTAATGTCAACCTTCCTTTTTTTATCATATACCCAATACTAAATTACTAATTCTTTTCTCTCCTTTATCTTCGTAAACCCAATACTTTCTAATTATTTTTCATTAATAATTAAAATATAATCGTCACAGTTTTAAAAATCTATTTCAAATATTGATTATGTTTGGTTGTAAAGCCATATACTTCGCTACAATTTGTGATTATAGTTAAACATCAAATTATTTTTCAAAAATAAAAGTAGTATAGATATATATGGCTAACACCAAAATATTTTGTTACATGTTGGTTGCAAAATGAATTTTTGTTTTCATAGTTGACATAATTAAGATAGCAAACAAGAAAATGAAACATATCACTCTTAATGACAAAATAGTAATATATTATATAAATGACTCATCCATTTAATTTTTTTTTAACAAACAACATATTTGAAAAATTCTATATTGTAAAATGTCTACCATTGATCAAAAGACTAGTTTTATAAATATATCAAGCAAACAAATACTCACTTTTTTTATTCATAGATAGGTTAAAGATAGACAGGTATTACAAAGAGTCGGAAAGTAAATAGCGGTAGTCAACCAAATGTTGAGCTATCGATCCAAAAATCTTTTTTGCCACGCAAATGAACAACCCTATTAGTACTACTATGAACGTAAACAAAATTAATGAAAGAAAATGAAGACCTCGTTGGGCTGATTTCTTCGAGAAGAGCACCCCCACAATCATGTAAACAAATACTCACTTTTGGAAGAGTGAAAGTTTGGGCGTACGCGTATTATGCCAAATTAAGAAAAAAAAGCATCAAAGAGGATTTGTTACGAACGACATTACCTTTTCTTCCCGCTTTCTTGTTATTCGCCAATCTCAACTTCTCTCTCTAACCCTCTCCCCTCACACAGGCCGACGGCGATGAAGTTACGACCGACGGACGGACGGCCAGGTATCTGAAAACCAGGTAGGTGAATAATTGCTTCCTCTAAAACTTGCACCCACTCATCTTTCCCCGCTTCTCCCAACAGGGACTAGCTCTCGCCATTGCCCTTTCCATGCGCGCAATTGAAAATTGGGGGCTTTTCATGGTTTCGACATGACAACGGCGTAATGTAATTCACAAACCCTTCAATAGTTTGGAGCTTTTTCTTGTCACGCCCTGGAGAAGAAGTAGTCTCTTGGCAAGAAGAATCGAGACCAGAAGAAGAAGTGCAGAAGAGATTGAGAGGGAACAGAGAGAAGAGAAGCAGGAGAAGAAGGGGGAAGGCAGAGTATAGGAAGATGAAGATTGACAAACTGATTTCTGTTATTCGATACCTTTCTCCATTACAGCAGACCCTATTTATATGACATACTATTTACAAATTGATACCCACACTATACTATATTACAATTAACTCCTTATAGACATTGGGTCATTACAACTCCCAACCCCTTGAGAATAGTCTTATCCTCAAGGCTGAAAACAATCAAAACAATGAACAAGCCAACAATGAAATGCTACAAACAAAAGGAAATGAGCTGCAACTGTCGATTCTTGCGTTTGGATGGCATGGCTACCAAGTTGTATTGGTTTCATGAATCACCACCAATCCATAATCCCTTCCCCAGTAGTGATAAGCTCCTTATATGGCTCTCTAAAGTCAGGATCAATGCCCCTTCCGTGCGAGAAAATCACATAACACTCCTGACCTGACAACCCACCATTACCAGTAGCAAACAACATCATAACAGTCCCACAATCCTCCTTGAGAGGCTTGGAACTACTGCTGCCATACAACCCCCAAGATCTTACAGATTCCTGGTCAAGAATTTCTTCATCGTTGATGTCCTCTGCACCATCTTTGTAGGGTTCTTTAAAAGCAGGACAGTTGCCTCTTCCCTGAGAAAGAACTACCATCCAACAAGCCTCCTTGTAAGGCTCTTTAAAATCAAAGTCAGTACCTCTTCCTTTAGATTCCACCAACACAAAGAAACCATCGAACCTTCCATCATCATACAGATAATCACCCAGGTCAGAATGACCATACTGAACAGTTTTCAACACCGAATAAAAGAGCCAACCAGCACCAGCTGTTTGTGAAGAAAAATGCATCAACCTACCTATCATTCGATCACCATCAACCTGCTGCCAATCAACTGCATCTTCAAGCCTGATCATGAAAACAGCTTGCTGCACTTTCCCTTGGGCCATCAACAAACCAATTCCACGACCAATACCATGTTTCTCTAGCCCATAAATGCTAAAGGTTTTGGAAATATCATCTTCCCTCAATGGTACAGCAGCAGAGGAAGTAATGATAGTGGCATAAACTTTAAGCGAAGCCAAGAAAGTAGCCTGAAATGAGTCACTTGCAGCATTAGTAGCTTTGTCACTATTCAGCCCTTCAAGGATTACAATAATCGACACCTTTCCACGGTTAAAACCTTTATTGAATCCAGAACAAGAGACTACCGGACCGGTGGCAACAAACTCTCCAACATTTTGAACCAGTCTGCAGTCTTGAACAAAATCACAAATGAATACTTCAGGCGACATAATCCTGACAGGAGAATTGAGTTCTCTAGCATAGTCATGAACTCCAACCACCTTCTTCAATACTACCGCAGCCACCTTGGAAACATTATACCAAGTCTTCCCATCAGTCATCATGCCCACCATTTCGCAGCACACCAAAAGAACACTCGTCACAACATCACAATGCTGAACAACCCCCTCTTTGTAGGGTTCTTTGTGCTCTGGGAGGTTTCCTCTTCCATGCGAATGAAATTCAGTTTTAAACTTCACCCTACGCCACGAATCCCCCTGATCTTTCTGCAAAGTATAATTCCATTCAACAAGGAACAATTGCTTTCTGTTATTCAGAAAACCAAAACTCAGCTTGGTAGAAATGGGTGCTCCATGAATAAAATCAGTATCATCCACTTCCATAACCTGAGTGTCCATAGCTTTCTTTAATGCATCAGTAAAAACTTCATCTGTCACTTGGTCGCCACTATCTTGCAAGTACACCCTATATGGCACCTCAATCCTACAAGAAGATTGCTGGATTTTCTCTTGAATGAAACACACCCAACTTCCAGACTCTGAACACGGGTTAACACCACGGCACACAATCTGCGTAGCTGTCATACCCACAGCTTTAAAGACGGAACTCTCATTCAAACTATTCTCCAAGATCTCACCCTGTTCTGGCTCTGTACAACATGCTAGAATATTAGAGCATTTCCCCTCAGCTCTACTTGGGACACCTTCTGCTTCACAAATTGCACTTCGGACAGATTGTGCAATAGCTCCAGTTGGCTGATTCAATCCTTTGTCTCCACCATTCCCATCAACCATGTTAGGAGAAAGAAAGGATTCAACAGTCACAGTACTTGTATCCACATCCATCTCTAAGTAATCACCAAGCTGGGATTGCTTCTTTCTTTTGCAGTCCTCGATGGCATCTTCCTCCAATTTAGCTTGACGGTAAGCTTGATCTAATGTTTGGGGCTGCAACATAGACATAACTAGCCGCAGCTCCTGTTTCAAGCCATTGATAAAGCTGCTAATGAAGAAGATCTCGTCCAAGGCTGGGTTGAATTGCGACATCAGGGACCTCAACTCCTCAAACTTCTCTTGATACTCAGTCAAAGAGCCCTGCTGCCTAAGTTTATTGAATGCAGCTACCACACTGCCATAAGTACGACTACCGAATCTCTGGCACAAAGCAACCACAAAATCCTCCCACACTAATTCACTTTTGCCATATTTCCAACCTTCAAACCAAACATCGGGCCGTCGCTCAAAACCGATCACAGCCAAATTTACCTTCTGATCATTAGGGATTGCATAGGTCTCAAACAATTTGTCGCATTTGCTAATCCATTCGCGAGGAGCTTCACCATCGAAAGAGGGAAATTCTAATCGGGGCAGCAGATGAGCATTACCTCGGGCTGGAGCAGCTTGAAAGGGCTCCCGCTCAGCTACTTGATGATTCTGTGGAAAAGGCAAAATGCCCTCAGCGCCAATCAGATCCTCCAGCGGTGCAACCGCGCCGACAATTGCCTCCACCGGCCTAAGAGGAAGAATCCCATGAAGCATATCGCGAATCTCCTGAGTGAATCGATCAAAGCGATTGTCCCAACGAGTGGCCCAATCGGTGAAGTGAGTCGCTGGACGAGTCTCGAAACCGTCCAATCGCGTCGTCAGAGTGACGAATTGTTGCGAGTGACCTTCCGCGCGGGTCCGGAGCTCCTGCAATTGAACTCGAGTCGCCGCCATTTTGCCAAGACAGGGCTCTGATACCACCTTGTCACGCCCTGGAGAAGAAGTAGTCTCTTGGCAAGAAGAATCGAGACCAGAAGAAGAAGTGCAGAAGAGATTGAGAGGGAACAGAGAGAAGAGAAGCAGGAGAAGAAGGGGGAAGGCAGAGTATAGGAAGAAGAAGATTGACAAACTGATTTCTGTTATTCGATACCTTTCTCCATTACAGCAGACCCTATTTATATGACATACTATTTACAAATTGATACCCACACTATACTATATTACAATTAACTCCTTATAGACATTGGGTCATTACATTTCTCCCCTGCACTAGCCCCCTTCTTCAATTGCTATATATTGAAATGGGTTGTCCTTATGCTCAAGGGTTTATGTGCGTTAGGGTTTCCTGTACCTGACACTGGCAGGATTCGGTTTCTTGTTCTTGATTATTGTGCAGTCATCAGTATGGCAAAGAAGAAGAAGCTCCGCAGATCGAAGGTTGATAGAATTAGTAAGCTTCCTGCCCATCTGATACAACTAATTCTCACGCCCTTGCCCATAAAAGAAGCAGGCAGAACAAGTATATTGTCAAGAGAATGGAGGCACCATTGGAGAAGCATCACCCGCCTTGTGTTTGATGACGAGTTTTTCGATTCACCGGATTATAATTCGGATGAAGAAATTAGTGCAAATAAGCTAATGTCGAACGTTCAAGAAACTCTGCAGGCTCATGATGGGCCTATCACAGAGTTTGTGCTTTCAAATCCTGAATTAGTAACTACTGTCAAGATTGGCCCCTTGATTTCTCACCTTTCAGGAAAAGGGGTCTCGGATCTTTCCCTTCTGTACCGTAAATACTTTGACCCGGAAAAGTTTGAACGCGAGATCGACTCTTCCCTTTTTCATGCAGTACAACTGGATAGGCTAAGTTTGGAGGGGTGTAAATTCACGGTACCATCTGGGTTTATGAGATTTGCAAGGCTGACATCCCTTCAGTTAGAACACGTAGGTTTGCCGGATGATTTCTTCCAGAGTTTCCTTCTGAAGTGTCCGCTGCTTGAGGATTTGAGGGTTTTCTACTTTCAGGGTCCTTGGGAACTTGAAATTGTAGCTCCACCGTGCCTCAAAGTGTTAACCCTGAGAGCGTTTATTTTAGATAGTATTATTGGCTTCAAGTATGCTCCACTGCTTTCTGTAGTCTCAATGCAAGCAGGGGAAATTGAGTATGAGAGTCTTGCAACAGACATGGTCTCTGTATTTGCTTCTCTCCCTGCACTCCAGCAGTTGTATGTTAGCTTTGAGTGCCTGGAAGTAAGTTTGTTTTCGTTAAAACTGTTCTCTTCCCATTTTCCCAAAATATCTGGAATTATTCCGCTGATCATATCTGTGTGTTTCGTTTTCTTTTTTAGTTAATTGCTGCAGATCCTATTCCATACAGCACTTCACTGCTTGAAAGTTCTCGACATCCGCAAGTGTGGTTGTGAAGGCAGTTTGCTTAAGCAGGAGGTTCTCCTTTGCCTCATCAGGAGTTCGCCCAATTTGTATAAACTCACAATTCAGGTTCTTATGATACTCTATGAATCCTTCCTTTTGTACCACATACAAATATGTTAACGCTCTGCTTCTTCCTCTAGGCTAAATATGTTGATTCGCTAAAAACACTTGCAGATGCAACCTCGAGGAGATTTGCATTTTACCAGGAGGGACTTGAAGCTCTCAGACTATGAACCAGATACCGATCTGGAAGCTAAAGATGGTTGTTGTCAGCGTCTTGAAGAAGTCGACATTATGCTTGGTGGGGGCTCTCAGGTTGAGCTAGACTTGTTGAGGTTCGTGTTGGCCAATGGCCCGCTGCTGAGAAGGATTGTCATTGAGCCTGTGGAGGAAATGACTTGGGAAGGATGTCTCGAGTTCTTAGAGGAGATTAGACAGTATGAGTGTGCTTCAAAAAAAGCCGAGATCATATATGTGAATGAGTCTAATCGGATAGTCTTTAGGACGAGATTGGCAAATCTTTAGCTTATATAATCCATACATCTTGGATGACTGGCAACCCATGCTTTCGCTTTGCAGTTTGTGTTGACGAGTTGGAATTTTTTCAGTTCTTTGAATGAACGGTGTAAGGACTCTATCCTATCCTAGTTAATATTCTGGTTAGTGGTCACAAATTCCTACATAGCTCTACTCTTGTATATGAGAAAGATGAAACTATTCTGTTGGGCGAATACCTTCATTTTCTAAACTTTTCAGTTTTCACTTATTGAATGTTTATATTCCAAATAGAGACCTTTACTTTCTATCAATTAACAGCACCCCTCGAACTTCCAATATTCTTAACTAGCACGCCAAATGAGTTGAGTCGAGTCGAGTTTTACCCCAGTTTGAGCTCGGACTGTTTATTAACGAGCCGAGTCGAGTTGAGACGAGTTCGAGCTAGCTTGCTAACTTAAATCTTGACTCGTATTCGATATATTCATTTTGTATGTCATGTATGATACATGTGTTTAATGTCAAGATGAAAATAATAGTAATAATTAAGTGTTCAATATTAACTAATCTCATGTTATACTTTGGGTGTCAAATTACTTAATTAATACATTTTAAGTTTTAACTAGTCAAAACTATGTTATTTCATAATATCGAAGCAAACTATGATATATAATTTCTTTTAAAAATTAAATAATACATATTTGCTCACATAATCTACGTGTTAAACTTTATATAGGGTAAGATATATAATTGAGTAAATACAACATATAAGCCAGAACTATTAAGAAACGGAAAATTATAGCCATAACTATCAAAATACAAATTATTAGTCAAACGTTAACTCTTCGTTAACAATTCCGTTAGATGATTGTGAGCTGGCAAAAGTTATGCTGAGATATAAGAAATTTTATTACGTGGTAGTCAACAAAAGATCTCACATCAGCCAGTTAACCTAAACAACATATTGATTAATTAATTAATTATTTAAAATAATAAAAAATTCCCTCCCCAATAATCTTCCTCCGCCAGCCGCTGTAGTTCCCTTCTCTTCTCCATGGAACCGCCTCCGGCCGTCGCTCCCCCCTCATCGACAAGCCAAAAGTTTTTTGAATTCTCCGCTAACTTATTTCTATTTTGCAGATCTTGATTCAATTCTATATGAGAAAAAGGAACCCAAAAATTTCATAAGACTTGAAGTGAACTCATAGGGGTAGAAAGTGGCAAGCAACATCAGTTTCTCGTCAAAAGCAGCAAATGAATTTTACGGACTTAAGCAAGCCATAGACAACAACAACAACAACTGACAATTGACCTCGTCAAACAGATTATTAATCTCTTACAAATGCATATCTATGACGGTGTAAAATAGTAGCCGAAAATATGGGTGCTGGGTGGAGGTTCAACGAGCTTGGAGCCGGAGATGGAGAGCTTGGAGGCTGGACTCACAGGTCGCAGCCGTTGGAGGGTGGAAAGCTTGGAGGTTGGCGAGTGAGGAAAACGAAATTGAAATTGGGGATGCCTTGTTGGGATGGACGACAATGTTTTGCGTTTTGCTATTAGGATAGATAATTAACATTGGTATAATTAAAGTTGTGTGTTCAATAAATCAAATACCTCTTTTAGTCGAGATGGTGAGATTGCTAGCCATGAAACACGGGGTCAGGGGTTCGTTTCCTAGTTCTCACTATATGTACTACAAAATATTTTGCCCGCCCCCAAGAGGGGCGAGTACTTCAATGCCTAATTTAGTCCATCACCAAAATTGCGAGTAAGGTCGGGTAATATCCACACGAGTAGTGGTTATGATATGTCGACCCATTATCTTTATATATTTTGAGGAAAAAATTTATTTTCAACATAAAAACAAAGGAAAAATAGTTCATAAATGAAAAGGTAGATATAATATGCAGATTAATTGAGAGAAATTGGCTAATGGATGAATTATTCCAGTTATCTAAAGTATCAGATGAATGTATATATACATTCTAAAATCTTATGTTTCTACTTATAGGCATATATTTTTAGAATATGTCTATTACATGTAGTTGATGGCAATGATGTAGGACGAGGCGAGTACTTCAATGCCTATATTCGTCCATCACCAAAATTACGAGTAAGGTCAGGTAATATCCGTACGAGTAGTGGTCATGGTATGTCGACCCATTATCTTTATATATTTTGAGGAAAAAATTTATTATCAACATAAAAACAAAGGAAAAATAGTTCATAAATAAAAAAGTAGATATAATATGCAAATTAATTTAGAGAAATTGGCTAATGGATGAATTTTTCCAGTTATCTAAAGTATCATATGATTTAACACAAGTAAAAACAGGACAAAAACAATAAAATATGAGACAAATGAAACAGGACGAAAGTAGTACCCATACCCCAATCCACATAACTACGAACCAGATATTACCCGCTTCAACACGAATCAGGTTGGGTCATACACATTAAAACGGGTTCAAATTATCATCACTAAATACATCTCAAATAGGTGGGATACCGATATGACTATTGAATCTATTACCACATTTTGAATCTCATCAAAGACTAATAAGTTGGCTAATGGTTAAGTGCAAAAACAAACCTAGAATAAATTCATAACAATTTAGAGTTTACGGGATGGCTAAATGTCGGATGTCATAACCATCCCAATTAAGGAATAGGCGTAAGCCTATATTGAATCAAGCAAGTTAATTACCTTCTCAGCACGTGATGACATATTTATAAATAACAACAGTACATAAACTCAAACTCGAGATTATGGTCATACGAATACCGAAGTTTACAAATTCATGGTTTTCAAGTCGTTATCAAACTGGTTAGCTGGACTAGGTTCGATCGGAGCGACCTCCTAAACTGCTCTGCCACAAAGCTGAATTTCTAAAGAGGTAGGACTCCGTCAAAACTACAAAATTGGTGGATCTGGTCAAACTAATCGATTACCAGCCCGAACACCAAATGGGTTTTGCCATTTTGGTGAAATCGAATAAAAAAAGAGAAAACGAAAAGATCACCTTAGTCACCTGCAAATCACTTTGTGAGAGATGACCGAAGAGCGACATGAAACGGACGGGGAAGGGGGAGGCAAAGATAGTGAGGTAGAGAGTATAAGAAAGAAGGGGTTGTGTGAGTGTGTGTGCTATATCTGACTATTTATTCTTAAATCACTACTTGACCGATTCAACGGTTTAAATAAGTTTGATGATTTTGCTCAAATTAGTCGGGTAATTAGCATAAACGGTCACAAACCTTTGCACTTAGTACAAAACAATCACAAACCTTTAACTTGTAACCATTTGATAACAAAACTTTTTACTTAGAACAAAACGGTCACAAATTAAACAGTGTGACCATTTCATACCAGTTCAAACTTTTGTTACCGTGTCGTTGCAAATTAGACTTTTGGTGACCGTTTTGTACAAATTAAGTTCAAAAGTTTGAACGCTCAATCACCGTTACAATTCGCTCTAGTTGTATGGTGGTTTTGTTAATGTATGTGAATGATATGATCGTCATAAAGGAAGGCAATGAGAGAATTAAATGGCTCACAACGAGTTCCAGACTGCTTTTTAGTTGAAAAAACTCTGTCTACTTTCTTGGTATCGAAATTTGTTTTTTATAGATTGGTATCGAAATTGAAAGGTCAACTGAGGGCATTCTTATTTGGCAAAGCAAATATGTCGATGAACACATGAGCTGACATCTTATATGTCGTTCAAGTGGTTAGTGTCATATACTTAACGAACAAACTACCCGACCTCAAAACATGACAAACATTTAATTTGTAACGATTCAGTAACAAACCTTTTCATTTAAAACAAAACGGTCACAAATTAAATAGCGGTGACCATTTTATACAATTTCAAAATTTTGTTACCGTATTGTTACAAATTAAAGGTTTGTGACCGTTTAATACTAAGTGCAAAGATTTGTTACCATTTATGCTAATTACCCATTCTCAAATTACACCTACCCATTTAACCTTAAACAACTGAATTAATTGATTCAACTCCTTTAGATAAGTTTGATGGTCTTGCTCACGTTATACCTATCAGCATGATCATAAAACTCACCCAGCGGGCAAAATGTTAATTTTGTTATTTTTTGTAGTTTATGAGTTTATTTTGGGGTTAAGTATTTGAAAAACCAATAAATGAATTAAGTACATTTAAGTAAATTTAACTTAGTTAAAAGTGAATTTTAGAATGACAAATAGCAATACTCATAGATTCTGCTGTTAGATTATCAAGGACAGACACCGGAAAAAGGGAATTAGGGCTCATCGTCTTCGTCTCTTGCGAATTCCGGCGCAAGCTAGAATTAATAATGAAGGCGCTGAACGAGTCCGATGCCGATAGAATCAGCAGCCTTCCTGACGACGTGATACAGCGCATCGTCGCTTTCTTACCCGTAAAAGATGGAGCGAAAACAGCTACACTGTCGAAACAATGGCGGCACAACTGGGGAGCAACTGCTAAGCTCGTGTTCAATGGCGGTTTCTGTCAAATCTCAGCGGTGGAAGACTATGTGCTCAAGGCTAGTAAGCTAATGTCGGAGATTTACAAAGCTCTGCTCCTTCATGAAGGACCCATAACCGAATTGGTGCTTGAAATCCCTGGATTAAGGCCTTGTACTGACATGGATCTCATGATGCTCTTCGTTTCCAAGAAGAGCGTCCAGAAACTCACCCTTTCCTTCTATGAGAAGCGAGCACTTGAGGATAAGATTTCTTCTGCCTTGTTTACTGCTCGCCAACTGAGCTACCTGAGACTGCGGAACTGTGAATTCACAGCGCCATCTTGGTTTCTGGGTTTCAGTAAGCTTGCCCGTCTTGATTTATATGGAGTACATGTTCCCTCTCCATCTAATTTCTGTGAAGATTTCCTTCCCAAGTGTCCGGTTCTCCAACACTTGATATTCGTTATTCAGGGCTCAGACTCTCGTAAGGCTGAATTGGTATCTCCTTGTCTCAAAGTATTTGAGTCCAATCTTTGGAATATCTGCTTCAAGCACACCCCGTTTCTTTCAACGGTCAGGATCGAATTGCTGGATGTGTACGAGAACGATAAACTAAGCAAGTATCGTGCATATGACCCAGATATTGCAGCTGCATTCTCTTCTCTCCCTGCAATCGAGAAGTTAATTATCGGCGGACAATGGATGGGAGTAAGTTTTGATTTTTGAGTTGATAGCTGCAAACAATCTGGCTTGAGAATGTTGGTTTCTGTGTTCACCCGATACATATTTCATAATGCTGACGCTTGACATGTTCCTTGTGTTTTGTTTCTCTAGTTCCTTGCCTCAGGTAAAGTCCCATCCAAGCTTCCTACATATCTTCATCAACTGAAAGACCTCGAACTAGGCGACATCCTATTGTATCGTTTGTCGGAAGCACGTGTTCTTATTTGCCTAATCGCGAGTTCCCCCAACTTGCGCAAGCTCACCGTTGTGGTTGGTTTGCTGAACTGAGTTTTAGTTGTACAGTAGTAGATGTGAGTATTGGCTGTTAATTCTATGAGCTCGACTCTTCTTTTCCTGATGAATGTTTTTGTAGTGTAATTGTATCCACGCCAGCCTTCCCAAGAAGAGAACTATTGACATCTTGCAGCTGTTGGAAGAACACGACCATCCTACTGCAAGTTGTTTTCAGTGCCTGGAAGAGATGAGTATTTCTGATGTCCTGGGTATGCAGGTTGAATTGAACTTGTTGAGGTTTGTATTAGCTACCGCCCCACAACTTCGTAGGATCTTCATTAAGCCTGATGGTAAAATGGACCCTAGAAAGGGCCACAAATTCTTCAAGGAGGTTACGCGCTTTAAGCGTGTTTCCAGAGAAGCAGAGGTAATCTATGTTTCTAAGGATGAAAACTGATGCTCGATCTGTAGCTTTACTCTTCAAGCCTTTTGGCTCATCTTCTTAGTTCTCTCACTTCATCGAGGTTTTCTGGTCAGGAATTTTTTTTTCTGTAATTGATGCGAGGTTGTTTGATCTAAGATTAGTTTGGTATATGGTGGGCTTTTGTTCCCCTCAAGATGTTGCTTGTTCGTACTACTTTCAGTACACTTAATAATCTTGTCATCTTTGTCATGATAGAATTGTTGGGTCGAACTCGATTGCATGAACAAAAATCGTAAGTCTAGGGCTGGACAGTGGTTGCTATGTCATACGATATGAACTTGTGGAGCACGTTAGAGCAAGACATAGGTCCAAATCCTTTCCTCCTTAATGCATTTGAACTTTTCTTGTTATCTTAAAGGAAAGGAAAGGACAAATTCTCTCCATGGTTGATGGTGTGGTGACCCTATGTAGTATTGGGGCACTGACTAGAACAAACTCATCTAATAAGTCCCAACTCAACTCGTGTACCAAAAAGTCCTTAGTGTTGAACTCTTCAAGATGCTCAAGGCAACCGACTCTAGGTAGGTGATCTTCTCGTGGCAACCGTTTCTGTAGACTAGCAGTAACATCTAAGGATGAATGTTCGTCGTCATCATCATCGATTGAAGTCTTTCTTTCTTTCGCTCTTCCATGAGTCACGGAAGAACCCTGATCCCCAACGTAGAAGTGGTGAAAAAACGAGATTCGAGAGTGATTGAGAAGTGTGTTTCTTCTCCATTGTGGAATGGAGTGTTATTTTACTTCTTGACTCGTGTACTTTACCAATTCTTACAAATGATCATCTGAATTGTAAAATTTTACTTTTATGCTCTCCAGACTATGCATATTGAAAAAATCACAACTCGATTCACGTTAAAGCACCGTTCATTAAACTCAATATGCAAACTAGCACCCATCCCCGAAATGTAACCAATAATATGGGCTGAATCAACTAAATTTTTAGTGAATAAATGGGCACATTGATTCATGTCAACACACAAAAAGTTGTACATTGAACATGACACGGAAAAAAAAAAAATTTCTTCCCCCATTTCAAATTCCCTACTCCAGGAGCATTTGTAGGAAGGGTAGAATAGGGAGTGTCAATTTTTTTCTTTTTCCTCTATGGAACGGGCCAACTTACCGTACACGTGCAAATTTAAACGGGTCCAGGAGTGTCAATTTTTTTCTTTAAGTTCTTTTATTTCTCCGTGGTGGTAAAATATATATGAAAAGGCAAAACAATACTCCTTTTTATTGCTAAAAATAAAAAAAATTAACAATAAACTAATGCATGGATTCTAATGGGCTAACCGCTAATCATAAAATAAAAGAGTTGAAGGGGCCTGACCTACACGAGATTTGCCCATCAAGTAAAACAAATGAACATCATGGGTTTGTCATTCTAAAACAAGCTATTTTCTCTAGCATAATATATATTATGCTATTATTTTATATCTTAGTGGCTAAAATATAATGTATTTTAAAGTTATTCAATGGTTCAACCTCGACCAACCCAATTAGTCCAATTTTTATCATTTCAAATATATATTATGTAATTATTTGATATCATAATGATTAAATTATAGTGTATATCATAGGGAATCATTTGGTATTTGTTAGTAAAAAACTAAACATAAAGATCTATTTGGTTATTTTTAACATTAAAACGATCCTAAGCATTTTCTTTTTCCTTTCGAAATTCTATAGCTTTATTCCCGAATTAGTGATGTGCAAATGGCGAATTGCAGTCATCTATTTTCTTTCATTATTTTTTATTTTCAAATAGAAAGTTTAAAACTAAAGAATAATTAGAGTTTGGCATGGATCGGTCAAACGGGCTGAATTTCAAGTTTTGGCCCGTTTTGATCAAGTCTAATTTATAATCACATGATTCCCTGATACCCAATAAAAATCTCAATCCAAACCAGTTTGGCAGGTGAATCCGTGTTTACCACCATTTTCTAGGGATACAGGAACGATGGTTCCTATCCAAAATCGTGTTGTTCATTCTTGATTTCTTTAGATTTTATCATGGCTTGGCAAAAAACCAGAAAGCACAATGATGACAAGATGAAAGTTTTATAAAGCAAATTAATCGGCCAACGGGCCGAGTAAAAGCTAGCAACAATTGTGAGATGCTCATTTCCCGAAAACTGGCTGCACAAGGTAACATGTACTTGATTTTGGTTCATAAGGCTGATTTTTGATTCGTTGCATCATTCATGTCTCTTTCCTACTAAAATTCACTATTTTTTATCACGTGTTTCCAAAAAAAAAAACTATACAACAATAAGCTATACAACCCATTAAATTATCAAATTTCATATCTCACATTCCTCCGACCAAATGGCCGGGGCCCACGCTAGTTGATTAATATATATACGAGTAACCTAACACATACTAGCTTTGTTCCCGACCATTTGTTGGGTTATTTTTTATAACTATAAATCGTTCAAAATTTTAATTAAACTTTTTTTTTTGGATTACTTGATCATTTGGATTGATATAATTTATTTGTAATAATAAAATATATATCATATGATCCAATCTAAAATCATATAAATCTTTGATTCAATATCGATTTTAATTTTTTTGTAGGAAAATGGGACGCTAAAAGGGCGCCCCCAATGCAGTCAAAATCGCGCTTTAAAGCTTAAAATCTTACGGTTTTATGCTTCTAGGTCACTAAAACGTTTTCGTTTCCATGTAAAACCTTAAGTGCATAAAATCGAACTAAATTGAGTTTTAAAGCTTAAAAGCTTACGCTTTTACGCTTATATTTCACCTAAACACTTTACGTTTTTAGTTCACTAAATGGATATTCTTTTCATGAAATTAATCATAAAAAGTATATTGTAAAGGTAAAACACTAACAATATGATAGATTTTATAATAAAAGATACATATCAGGTACTTGGATGCATTCTCAACTTCAGTAGAGTAATCTAATTCACTAGCTAGGCCTTTCCCAAATTTATTAACATAGACAGGAAGGTGACTTGTTGTTAAGATCTATGTTTATGAACTTATTATTAAGATACTATGAGTTGCTCTACTTTAGACGTGAATTACTAGTATTTATTAACTTATCCAAATTTTGTGCACTCATATTTTACACAGTATATATCGTACTCAACAGATTTTTAGTTATTTTCTAGTGTGCGTAAAAAACTTACGCTTTTACGTTTTGATTCAACGCTCTATGATTTTACCCCTTTTCCGCTTCTAGGTAGAATCGCGCTTTTAACTGCATTGGGCGCCCCTGCCTGAAACTTAAATTAAACGAGATTGGGCAATGCCCATAGAGTCGTACAAAAGCCAAAAGTTGAGGCCAGGGTCACCTCTCTCAATAACATGATAACCAAGACTAAGAGAATGCCCTTTGTTAGCAAGGTAACATCGGCTAACTTGTTGCCTTCACGAAAAGTATGAGAGATCTCGATCTCCCAATCTTGTTGGATGAGTTGCTGCAGTTGAGTCTAAAGACTGTGGTAACGCCCTTCGTACGTCAAATGAGAAGTCATTAAAGTGATTGCAGTCGTGGAGTCGGTCCGCAGTTGTACTTTTCGGTAGCCTAGCTGCCACGCAAACTTGAGTCCTTGTACCGCCCCCAGCAGCTCAGCTCTCGTAATTGTGCAGGCCCCCAGGTTGGTGCAAACGTTGCCAGTCTCGAGGAGGAGGATTCCACGCAATCTCTGTCGCCGTCTTTGTACGTCGAGTAGTCTGGATTTTGTCATTGTTCTCTTGAGCGTTGCGGACAGTGTTAGTCCAACTCCTAATTCTTTGGACGAGGGTAGTAGAGTCTTGCTGCTTGTGCTCAAAAACCCATTCATTCCTTCTTTTCCAGAGATACCAAGCGCCAACTCCAAAGAGCATCCCGATTTGCGGGTTCTTGAGGTGTTCCGCCATCCAGTCTGCAAGATTAAGGGCAATAGTTAGAGTGTTATCAGAGATACCGAGTTCATGCCATACCTGGGATGTATGTGCGCAGTGCCGGAGGATATGTTCTGTTGATTCCGGGTTGCTTTACAAAGATCACAGGTATCCTGTTGACAAAGTTTCCTTCTCTTCCTCTCGCAATTCGTCAACAGGCGGTCGTGGAAAGCTAGCCATAGGAAATGTCGTATGCGATAGGGACCATCCCATTTCCAAATTTGTTTCCATTTAGGGCTGGCCTGGTTCTGATCAGTTTCGTTGTCATCCTTCCGGAGCCACTCTGCTGCGACGGTGTAGGCTGATTTTATTCGAAACTTGCCGTCTACATCCATTCCCCATGTCATCAGGTCTTCTCCAACATCCTGTCTTGGTGGGTCTGTACCTGCAATAAGCAGAATGATAGAGTTAGGGAGGTAATTTTCGAAACTTGGCCATTTCCACTCACCTGATGCATCCGCCATGTCAGCAAATGAAATACTCCAGTCCATATCGGGCACTGGTCATTTACGTGATCCCTCAGGACCACACCATCCGCCACCCAAGCATCCTGCCAAAACTTCACACTCTCTCCATCTCGGATGTCCCAAGTAGCACCCTACTTCACGAGAGGAAAGGCTTCCAACATCCCTTTCCACAGTCTCGAAACTCGTTGGTGTCTCATTGAGACAGTACCATCGTTATTCGCCTTGATGTACTTGCCTTGCAAAATTCTAATCCACAGAGCGTTGTTATCATTAATAAAATTTCAGCAAAACTTCATAATGTAGGCCAGATTAAGGGCGCGGGCAGATCAAAGGCCTAATCCACCCTGCTCCTTCGGTTTACAAACAGTCTCCCACGTCACTAGGTGGGTTTTAGTACGAACTTCCTCCGCTCCCCAGACAAAACTTCGGATCTTTATATCTATCACATCACATATATGACAGGGCAGGACCGTTGTTTGCATCACGTAATTAGGAAGCGCATTCAGGACTGACAAGGCTAGAGTAACCCGTCCTGCGAGCGAAAGGCTCCTAGCTTTCCATCTTGAAAGCCTCTTATCCAAATTTTCCAGAATATACTTGTAGGTGTCTTTAGTTACACGCCCATGTACAACTGGAACTCCCAAATATCTCCCCAAGCTGCTCGTCTGATTAATTCCCAGCAGCCTGCTGATCCTTCTCTTAGTGCGATCCTTGGTATTCTTAGAGAAATAAACACAGGACTTGTCTTTGCTGACTTCTTCCCCTGACACTGCGCAAAACTTGTCTAGGCAGTCCAGGATGGCCTTCTCCTGCTTCATATCGGCCTCTGCAAAGAGCACTAAATCATATGCGAAAAAGAGATGGGTGAGGGTCGGTCCCTGTTGAGACAAATGTAAAGGGTTCCAGAGACCATTGTCAACCGACTCTTGGATACAGTGATTTAAACGCTCAATGCATAAAGTAAAGAGATATGGAGAGAGAGGGCATCCCTGTCTGATTCCACGTGAGGGCTTGAATGACTCCGTGCAACTCCCATTCCAAAGAACTTGAAAGCTGGAAGTAGTTACGCAACCCATGATCAGATTGATGAAATCCATCGGGAGACTGGCTGCAACAAGGGTGGATCGCAAGAACCCCTAGTTGATCCTGGCGTAGGCTTTTGCCAAATCGATCTTCAAGACCATACTGCCCCGAGCACCCTTCAGTTGATTCAGAGAGTGAACCACTTCCTGGAGAATAATGATGTTGTCTGTGATGTGTCTGTTAGGGACAAAACTGGTCTGATTTTCATTGATCAAAAGAGGCATAAGGCTCTTCAAACGGTTTGCCAGACATTTCGCCACGGCCTAATAGCTGGCATTGCAGAGTCCGATAGGTCGAAATTGCCCCATCGACTTGGGAGAATCACACTTTGGCAGCAAGGTCAGAAGGGTCATGTTGCAGTGAGCGATGTGATCAGGCTCTCTGAAGCATCGAACAAGGTGTTGGTGGAAGTCATTTCCTATAAAAGTTCAGCAGTTCTGATAGAAAATGGCATGGAAATCGTCCTTGCCCGGTGCTTTGAGACCACCCATTGCCTTAATGATTCTTCGGGTTTCGTCCAGAGTTGAAATGGCTGCCATGCTTCTAGTGAGATTCTCCTCAAGGGCGGGAAATTTGGCCGCTACACGTGGCCTTGTTGCAACATCTTCAGTGAAGAGATGAATGTAGAAATCTCTGGCCATGTCTTCCAGCACTTGTGAATCTTCGACCCAAGTACCATCGCTACCCTGAAGCTTGGTCACCTTATTCCTACGCCGCCTTGTAAGTGCTACAGTGTGGAAGTAGGTATTATTTTTGTCCCCATGATTGATCGAGGTGGCCCTAGCTTTCTGCATCCAAAGAAGTTCCTCTTGCCAAAGAGTATTTTCCAGTTCCTCTCGAAATTTAGCTTCCTGTTGAAGAGATAGGAAGTCTGGATTTGATTCATTTCGGGCTTCAGCATTGGCAAGGGATTTGATTCAATATCGATTTTACTAACAAAGTGAAACGATAAAAAAAAAATTAGAAGTAGCATATTACACACATTCGATGACATAATAATCTCAATCTTGTTATAATAATTAATATAATCAATGAAGTTTATCTTATTAGTTTTGGAATCGATCTCATCAAATATAGTTTAGCATCGATTCCAAAAGGAGAGCCTAACCCACAACAATCTATTATCCTCAAATCTTCTAGCAGCGGGCACTTGGTAACAAAATCGACGAAGAAATCCTCGTCCAACATTACGTTATTAAGTTCGAGATGGGCAAGCTTGTTGAAGCCCACAAACCCAGGAGGTGGTCTAAATTCACAGCTTTGCAGTTTGAGGGTATTGAGTTCAATAGCAGCAAACAAGGGAAATTCCTGAGGTCATAAACATACGATACCACCCTGATTCGTGGAGTATTCGAAGGGTGAAGTCCTTGAGCTTTTTGTTGTTGGCAAGGTAAAGAATGAAGTGATCAATTTCGTCACATGGTCTTAATCCAGGGATTGCAAGCACAAACTTGGTTGTGGGATTTGCTATTATGGAGAATCGCAACTTCGTAAAAATCTTGTTCATCAGGTCATGCACATTTGATTCGGATTCAGACCAACGGGTTCGAGCAAAATCAGAATCAAATACTAGTTGAGGAACATTTCTCCAGCAGTACCTCCATTGCGTTGATAATGTAGCCGCTTTCGCTGCGTCTTTTAGGAGCAAGAACGTGACAATGTGATCTGCCAAGACCTCAGGCAGGTTACTGATTCTATCAGTACTACACGAGTCGCTGAGACCCTTCATCCTGCACCAGAATTATGAATTAAAACGAGCTATTCATTACTAGATCAGAGAGACAAAACTAGTTATCAGCAAGTTCATCAGAGATCACAGAACAAGCAAGAAAAGAAAACTACTTAAGGTAGGAACCATTTATGAAGCAGCCAGATAAACAATCAAAATCAAGTAGAACATAACTCCCAACTTAACTTTGACCCTCCCTTGCTAAACCTAGTAACCTTCATTCCCTTCTTGGCCCAACTATTACAGAATCAAAACAGTTTCAGACCAGCTCCTCCACTCACGTTCTTCTTTCTCAACTGGATTGTACTTACATCTAGGCATTCACTAAAAGCCTTGAACGGCCACCACCTTCTTAGTTCTCATACTCACCATTCCAAGTATACAGTAAGTTTGCCTTCTTGGAACTCCGTTTACAGTATGATACTCCCGTCAAGAACTTGTGACATTTATCGAGATTCATATACTCTGAAGTAGTAACAACAATCTTGCGAAGTAGTGGGGCACCAGCTAGTGCAAGGCTCACCAAGTCCAGCTCGACTTGTGATCCACAGATTCCGTTAATGGTCAACTCTTCCAGACTCTGAAAACAACCCCAAGATCCTTGTGGGTCCTCTGCTTCCAACAGACTCTTCAGACTGTCAATTAAATTTTCCTCGGGATCTCGTGCTCCATCATCAATCTACAAGAGGCATATATCAAAGAACGATCTCAGGGTACATACTCGATTACGGAATATTTCAGTTCCTCACAACAACTAAAACGAGACTAACTAACCTGAATGGTGAGTGTTTTCAAGTTGGGGGAACTCATGATCAGGCAAAAAAGAACACGTGCCTCGGGCAAACTATGTAATACCAGGCTATCCATTTCCAGGACTTCCAAGTGTTGAAGAGGAGTAGGAAGCCTCTTCGGGACATGATTGCCTGCAGCAAGTAACTGGAATACAGAACACCAAACACACAAGCATTTAGAACTAGAAACAAAACAAATCCAAGTAAGAGAAGATAAAAGAAAAACTTACCAGCAGGAACTCAATGCCAAGTTTCAACTGTTTTAGTGCAGGGAGGGAAGCATCCAATACATCTACTATATCAATACTGCCCTGCTGATACCTGTACATTCCATTGGACAAGTAATCACAGTAATCAAGAATGGATACCTGCGAAAGAACAGGGGTATACTTGAAGCGAATGGTCCACAAGATGGTGCGTAAACAAAGCACTTTGAGACGAGGAGCCTCAATATCAGGGCTATCTATACAACCCAGACAATCTATCATCCTCAATTCTTCAAGCAACGGGCACTTGTGAAGGAAGCCAACAAAGAAATCTTCGTCCACTACTACGTTTGCCAATTCGAGACAGGTGAGCTTGCTAAATCCCACAAACCCAGATGGCGACAACAATTTGCAATTATGCAGTTTCAGTGCATTGAGTTCATGAGCAACAAAGAGGGAAGCAAAGTTCCTGGTTTCATACCCAAACTGGAACTCATCAAATTCATCAAGAAACTGAAGGGTGATATCCTGGATACCTTTGTTGGCAAGGTAAAGAATCAAGGGAACGATCTCGTCGCCAGGCTTCAATCCAGGAATTGCCAGCACAAACTTGGTTGAAGGCTCATTGTTGTGGAGGAGCACCGCTTTGTATATCTTCATCACCAGAGCATTCGCATTCGATGCAGTTTCGGCCCAACGGGTTCGGGCAAAATCAGCATTGAATACAAGTTGAGGCACATTCCTCCAGCGGTACCTCCATTGCCTTGACCAGGTAGCCGTTTTTGCTGCTTCTTTTAAGGGTAACAGCATGAGAATTCGCTCGGCCAGGTAAGCAGGAAGGTTGCTAATCCTGTCAGTACTACTTGACTCGCGCAAAGTATTCATTCTGCTAAAATGAAATTCCGAGCAAGGAGAGTGGATCAGAGTCACAACTCACAACTAACCCATCAAAGAGCCGAGATTTACGAATAATTAAGAGAAAGCAATTGAGGTGAGAAGGTTTCGGACCTGTAAGGGTTAACTAAGCTCGGTATCTCTCGGAGAGGGCTTTCACGAATTGCGGGCGGCAGAGGTTAGCGGAGAACGGAGGCTCTACGGGCGGCAGTCGGATTTTCCCAGGGCGGCAAAATCTCTGGAAACCCCGCGGTCGAAACGGGCAGATACCCGAGGGGCTCGAGGAGCGAGGGGGAAAAGAGGCGGAGGCAACGGCGGTGGAAATTTTCAGGCCAGCGAGAAATTGGTAGAGATGAAGGTTTGACATAAATGGCCTCAATTCTCAATTAACTAGCGAGTAGGACTAGATGACTTAATTCTCAAAGGAAGGAAGTCGAAGACTCAGAGCTCCAGGTTTGTGTGCTCGAATATGGTGAGATAAGGGGTAACTCGTAGATGGATTGAGTTTGATTTTTAAGTTTTGGAAATTTTGGTATTAAGGACAGCCGTTTATAGTTATGTTTGTACAAAAATTACAACAAAAAATGAATTCTAATCTAATTTAAAAATGTTCATTAATAACTACTATGTCAAATGTTTGAAATACATAGACTACTACCTATTTTTTTCCATACTCAACTATTACCGGGGTTCGTTAAGCCTACTATCTACATGCTTTTACCTTCTTCTTTTTTTTCCATACTCAACTACGAGATTTTGGGAATAACTTTGCCTTTACCTTTCACAAATCCATATACATTTCAAAATTATGGTTATACTCAAAGTTTTAGTCCATCAAAATTTAAGCGAAATCAAAAAAAGTTTCCTGACATTCGGATTGCCGAGCACAAATTTATGGTCTTCCAAAGTTTGTCAAATTCGATAAATTGCTCATTCGGGGTAGCAAACGGAATTTTTTTTTTGGATGAATACTTGTTGCAGATTGAAAGATCTCGAAAAGTTATGTGGAATAAAAAAAAATTCGCTACAATCGGATAACCAAGCGCAAAGTTACGTTTTTTTGAAGTTTCAGTGTTACGTCAGGCATTCACCGCAACCGTCAACCGCGGTGATGCATTCACTGCTATCGTCTGCCGCAGTGAATGCGTGCATTGCCGTTGACGGTCGCAATGATGTCCAAACATGTGTATTTCGAGTATTTTTTTTATAACGTGTGTATTTTGAGAATATTTTTTAGAACATGTGTATTTTGTGATTTTTTCTTCATTTTGAGGAGGTCCATTAGGTAGTTTTGTACAACACAGCAAAAGTGATCGACATTGATTGTTAATTTTACATTATTAGCTATTACGGTTCGCATTAGCACGCATTAAGAGCCCATAGCTGCTCCAACTAAGTTTAGGGCATTATATATCCCGGCTCTGGAGAACCAAAAATGTAAGCTAAACTAGAAACCCTAACGTCATTCACAAGAAAACACATCTCATCCATCGGAAGGCCAAAGGCTTACTGAACAGTAGGGTGGAGAAAATTACTTTCGTCTACGTCTACGAATCCTCAGTAAAACTACATATCAGCCAACTTCATGCTCCAAACCGTCTTCTTATAGCTCATCAATACGACCTCTGCTTCTTCTGAAACACGATGACAGTGTGTAACCTCCTTCAAGAGCTTGAAACATTTCTCCCAATCCAATCCAGGTTTAGGCTTGATGATTATCCTGCGAAGCATTGGGGCCTCTGCTAGCACAAACTTGAGTAGTGCCTGCTCAAAATTCGAGCCTTCACTACACTGCATATTCACCTCTTCCAGAGACGGACAACAATGATCTTCAGCATGATCGTCCGAGAGTTCAGACGCAGCATCATGGTCAACGGATTCAGGTTCAAAAAACATCGGTTGGCTTGGTCTGGTTGGAAACTTGACTCCGAATTGCCTCTACAAATGTGAATCGATTAAGGAAATAGAAGAGGTTGATCAAAACAGCAGTCATTACTTTGAACTAGAGTTTGATATTCCCATGACGCAGATGACCAACCTGAATTGTCAGTCTGCGCAAGTTGGGGGAACTCCTGAGCAGACAAAACAGAACCTTCGACTCAAGGAAATAAGTGGTGTGAGAATTACTGCGAACGTCGAGGACTCTCAATCGGCGGAGAGCAGTAGGCAGCTTGGAGGGGATATCCTCTGCAGCAAGGAACTAGAGACAGACACACAAACAAACAAACACAGCCATGACTACATAGCAGAGGAAATCCAGGTATGGAAATGAAACAACAGAACTAAAAAAAAAAAAGAGACAAACTTCATACTTTAAGGAACTCAAAGCTGACATACAGCTTCTGGAGTGCTGCAAGAGAAGCAAATACGGCGATCACATCTCTAGCCTCGTCGAATTCGTTCAATTTGAAATCACCAGGCTGCAACTGAATCGAAACAACCGAAAGAAGCGGAGTTCGCGAGAAGCTAATGTCCTCTAAATACCCCCGGTTATAGAGAAACACTCTCAGACATGGAGCTTCATCAATTTGAACATGAGTAGGACCCTCACAGTCCAGAAGCCTCAGATCCTGAAGCAGCGGGCACTTGCGCAGGAAATCGTGATAGAAATAATTAGGCACGGTTACCGTTCTCAGTTCGAGACGGGTGAGCTCACTAAACCCTACGAACCCAAAAGGGGGCACGAATTCGCAGTTCCAGAGCTTAAGGCAATTCAGGGGACGAACAGAGAACAGAGAAGAATGAATGTTCTGACGGTACCCGGGTTGGATCACTTCGTCGCTGAAGTAAAGGGCGAATTCACGGACCCCTTTGCTGGAAACGTGAAGAATCACTGGATCGAGTTCCTGACAAGGGTTTATCCCGGGCATGGCGAGGACGAACTTGGTTATCGGTCCGTCGTGGACCAGCAGAGCTTTGGAGATGTTCAACATCAGCTCTCTCTCGTCGTCGTAGGTGTTGAAATCGAAATCGAAGACCAGCTGGGGAATGCTTCTCCAGCGGTGCCTCCATTTGCTGGACAGGATGCTCGATTTGCCCGCGTCTCTGACGGGTAACGACATCAGGATTTGCTCAATCACATTGGCGGGAAGGTCGCTGATTCTATCGGCGATCGATCTGCGCACCGGCTTCATTTGTTGAAATGCTGCTTTGCTACAAGGGTTCGATTAACTGAGCCTTGTTGTCGATTCTGAGGTGAGGATGATGAGATTCAGTGCCGAGGGATCTAAGCAAAATAGAAAACCCTAATCCGCTTTGCATGGCGGAAGTCTAGAACCGATCGATACTTGGTTACTTACTCTCTGTGACGTCAAACGATGACGTTTTCGACTTTCAGCTGTTTGTGCAAGGTTGTCAACCCGGTATCCTGTTAGACAGGTCGAGTAAGTGGCTTAAGTAGGGGTGGCTATACGGTCCGGTTCGGTTAAATTGGCCCAAATTGATTCGGTCTTGATCCAGTCTTTTCGAGAATAAAGGACCAAAGGTTGGATTGGATACAATCCGGTCTTGATCCGGTCCGGTCCCAATTTGGTGTTGATTTTAGATTGAATTTGTGGGGATTTGAGTGACCTGAGGCCTCAAAGGGTGAGGAGTTGGTTAAGTTTTGGGTGTTGGGGTCTCTTATCCGTTCTTTATCCGGTTTTCGATCGGGTCGCAAACGATTTTCACCTCAAATCTAAGCCCAAATCTGAGATTGGATTGTTTGCTACTTTGCTCTCCGGTCCCAGTCTGGGTTATAAGGTCCGATTTTGGGTAAAACCAAACAGTCCGGACCAAATAGCCAGCCCTAAGCTTGAGGATTAATGGTCCGACCGCTTTAGCCTAGTTTTGCCCTGATATATGAAAAAAAATAATTATATGTTCATTTCATACATTTATAAATTATTACCAATTTCATCTTACATATATATGATAAATAATATATAACGTTACACCACTAATCTTTAAAAAAAAAAACCTTAAACTAATAACAAATCGTACTTAGATCCAACATAAAAATTCAAACTCATCGTATATAACATTAATATTAAAAAAAGTTTCTTAGAATATCTTATTAGAAATTCTTCTCATTTCCTAAGTTGTTAGTGTTGGAATTAATCGAAATATGTAATTCCCTGGAAATATCTTATCAGATTATCAAAGGCGAATAGATCTAAATACCTGGATTCATGATGGTAGATCGTCGTGAGCTTGAAGCGGAATCTGTAGAACGATCTTTAACCGGGCGATACCTCCAAGAGCACGATCCGGGAAGTTTAGTGGCCTTCCTCAACCAAGCCTCCTTAGTCCACTCACGGGAAACCTCACATATTCCTGATGGGGAGAATATGTGTGTATTTTCGGTCTTACTATATTGGGGACCACAACCTCTAGGTTCTTTATATACTATGTTTAGCTAGGGTTCCCATAAAACCCTAATTAGGTTTAGCATATGGTTTCCACTCATTGGGCCCATATAAGATATTGAGTAGTCTTGGGCTCCATAATTTGACCACTTATAATTAGCCCACTTTAACAAATAACTAATACAATTATTATCCCATAAACCACAGCCCACATTACGTGGAACATATATTTCCAACAGTTAGCTCTAATTAACCTAGACGTTTAGGCAATGCAGTACTTCGTCGCTTGGCATAATGAGAAGCGAGTTGGTGAACGAGGTTGGTTGTGAGGATTCTGTTGGCGGCCTCGCTGAGATGGATGTTGTCGAAGAAATGTCATCTGAGTGAAATCTTTCTATTGGTTGAAACTAGTGTTATAATTATACTGGAAAAAAGTGTTAGCATCCTAACCTTATATGAACGTCATCATATGCATTAAGGTCTAAGGATGACATGTTTGTTAATTTGCAATAATAGACAAGAATATAATGTTATTAATCCTTTGAAAAAATAAAAAGTAACTAACGTATTGATCATTGAGGTCTCAAGTGATTTGTCACTGATCGTTAAGTTAGAAGCGATTTGTCACTGATCGCTGAGGTCAGAAACAATCTATGTACGATCTGTCGTAGATTACTGAAGTCTCAAGCGATCTGTTATAGATCGCTTTTATCTGAAGTGATCATGTCCCAAAATATATATAGTTTGAGAATTTCTTAGAAAATTATTATATTTTGAGAATTTTTTATACGGGCAGAAAAAATCCCAATTAGACTATGTAGTAAGTACTCAAAATAAAAAAGAAAACCTTTAGCCACGACCATCGTTCGTACTATTACTAATCGTGCATGCATATAGGGTTCCGTATCATATTTTTGCGGTTGGCCGGCTAAAATTAGGTGACTTAGGGGGTCCTTAGTCACATGACTAAGTGAATCTCACCCCTTCCACCTCATTAAATCCAATGACTCATATTAATTCAATTTAATGAAAGGCATTGTAGTAATTGCATGATTTATTAATTTTCAATTATTAATTAAAAAATCTAAAATGCTCGCGTGTTTTTCCTGGTTGGGTTTCCGTCGTCCTGTCATCATCGGCGGCCAGGAACTTTCTTTCCTTCTCGGGTTCCCGACGTCCCAGTCAGCACCGACAGCCAGGGATGGTGATGAACCCTGTATTCAACCGACATCATATCACATTAATTTTATCGAGAATCAATTAGTCACACAAAAAATTCACAAAATACACCTTTTTTTCTTCTTCGCACATAGAGCTACTAACAAATGCAATTGGTGTTGCATTTTTGTTTTCTCTATATACATCAAGCATAAACACCAAATTCACTTCCCATGGCAAACCCACGTGGAAAGTAATGAGGCAACTATGTATTTCCACCCCATTTTTCCTCTCATGGTCGAGTATAGACCAAACTAGTAACAAGCTGAGTCACCCTAGTTAACCACCCATGGAGAGTTTCTCCAATGACATGCACGTAGCTAAGGAAGTGATGGAAAATGAAGTTTCTTTAAGCAAGCCATCTCATATTTTATCAATACGTGCCAAGGGAAGAATTGTTGGTTGAATTACATTTAGTTTCTTTGCTTGACAAACATAAATAAGGCCATCCAATCTTTCCCTGTAGACACGTGGACATGAGGTGCATGGATGATTACTTGATTAATCATCTAGTTACTATATGTCAAACAACCCATTTTCATTACACGTGGATGGAAATAGAGGATATGAGAATCTACCACTAAGCTTTAGCTATGCATGTCCATGTAAAAAGCTAGACCTTTATCTTTGTTGTTGGGTTGGTAAAGTATACATTACTCTCCAGCCAAATACATTTGACCACTCATACCCCTAATGCCACGTAACACTATGAGATGGATTAAGGGTACATATATACAAGTATACAACCCATCATATATAAACGACCAGCACACACTCAAACCACCCAAAACATATACACATGTACGTGGAGAAAAGTGGGAAGGTAATATCATTTCCTCTGTATACGTGCTAGTGATGTGAGTATGTGGTTTATTGTGCTGGTGAGGCTAGTAATGCTACATGGCTGGTTACTTATACGCAATCATGGTGTGTTTTAATTTAATTATTTTACTAGCAACTAGTAAAAGTATGCCACCCATGCCAGAAGCAGGAGGCTCCTATAAATAGGATGCACATTTATACTTTTTCGGCAGTTCATTTTGGAGTTGAACTTCTAAATCTCTCTCAAGAGCCGGCTCAATATGTCGCTCCCGGTTACTCTCTTCTCAATACTGACTTGAGCTTCGGAGCAGGTCCCCGCCGACACACCGTCGGCGGGTCCTTTTGTTTTGCAGGTGTCCATCTCGGAGGCTGGTGGCGGACGTTGGTCAGGAAAATCGGTGCTCACCGGATCTCAAACACATTGAAGCAAGGTCCTCCAAGCTTGGCATCAACAGATGGGGATGCGTCAGAGGCCAGGAATTTCGTGGCCAGGGATTTTGTACCTATGGGATTTATATCCCCCCATTTGTTTGCGGCTTCCCACACGGAGGGCTCAAGATTGGGTGCATAACCATGGGTTATGCAACCATAAATAACCAAATCTGGACCCTTCATTTAGAAAATCCAGATCTAAGGATGGAGAATTAGAGACCATTTTTATTTTCCCTAGCTTTTTTAATCGGCTCATATCTTTTTCGTTTTAACTCGGATTTTAATTTTTTTTGCACAGGTGGACGAGTTCATCGTGCTCCACAAAATGAGATCAATTTTCAATATTTTTTTAGAACAAAAAATTCTGGCCTCTCGGTACCAACTGCATACCATATGGTATTTTCTTCGTTTTTAATTCGTTTTTTGAACACGTTTGCACAGAAGGGACGAATTCATCATGATCTAATAGATCTACAAATTTCTGGGTGAACAAATTACATGACAAAAAACTCGCAAGATTTCAAATCAACCTAACTTGAAACTTAACGAAGTCACTCACTACAGCAAACGCCTTAATATTAATAACCCAGTTTTAATATTCTTATTTCCACCGAAACTTAATCCACCAGTTTCATGTTCAATCCTGCATTTCACGTCCAAACAGGGAAGAAAAGTCGCCCCAAAGATAAAACGAATCTGCAACGTCAAGCGGCTAAAGCTAGTAACTGTGACAAAGCAAACAAAAGACGGAATCCAATAAAAAAACTGAAAGGTTAAAGGTCCGTCCTAAAAATTACTAACTATCGTCCTAACTTAATACGTAAATTACTGAATTACCCTTTCTAAAATTCAAAAATAGACCCTAAGCAAACAACCCCTTACCCCCTTCCTCTCCCCCGACACAGACAACTCCCCCCCCCCCCCCCCCCCCCCCCCCCCCCCCCCCCCCCCCCCGACAACAAGCAGAGAAACGCACCCTCGCCGGAGTCGTCCGCCGCCGCAACCCACGCCGCCGGAGTCGTCCGCCGGCGCAACCCACGCCGCCGGAGTTGGAGTCGCGTCAGTCCCCAGCGTCGTCCGTCGCCGCAACCCACGCCGCCGGAGTCGGAGTCGCGTGCCGTCAGTCCGCAGCGTCGCCGCACCCCACTCGCCGTCCGCCCGCAGCGTCGTCGCCAGCAGTCGCCGTCTTCGCCCCCAGCGCCAGCTGTCGCGTGGTCGCCCAGCCGTCGCCGTCAGCCCTCCTCTCGCCTGCCGCCCAGCCGTCGCCGGAGAAGAAGGTAAGCTCCTCGCACTCGCCGTCACCGACCGAAGTCTTCGGTTGAGCCATGGTCAAACCGAAGTCAACATTCGGTTGAGCCATGGTCAAACCGAAGTCAATTTTCGGTTTGGTTGCTTTTTAAATAATTTTAATTCAATTAATTAATAAAAATTGTTATTAAATATTGTAAATTATGTAATAATTAGAAATAATTGTAGTTAATTATAAATAAGTTGTACGGTTTATAATTTATTATAAAAATTAAATTCGAATATTTTTATGAATTCAATTATGAAAAAAATATTGTGAATAATGTAATAAAAATTATTAAAAATTATCTGAAATTTATAAAAAGTATCAAAATTTAGAAATATAATCTATAAATTTGTAATTAATGTTACAAAAATATTAGAATAATGGGAAAATTAAAAAGTAGTTGAAATTAGACAAAAAGACTAAGAAAGTTGTAATTAATGTTAATAAATTATCAAAAAATTACAAAAAAAATAGAGAAAATTATCAGAAAATGTTAATGCATTTGATTATCATTAATTGTAAATCTTTTTTTTTTTTTTTTGAAGATGTATGGACATGGAATAGGCAAACCGTACATGAATAAGAAAAGAATGGAAGAAAAAACGGAAGGAAGAATGGAAGGTCGTGCTTGTAGACTTACAGCAACCGGTAGAAAAGAAAATGAAGAAAAAAATCCACGTAAGGTTAAGGGGAAGAAGAAGAAGGCGGAAATAGTGCGTCCCGACGGTCGCCCTACTATGGGACAGTTATCTCTTAGTCGAGGTACTTCCTCCACCCCTACTCCTGGGGATGCGACGCCGTGGGAGGCTAATTGGAGTGATTCAGTTTCTATGGACGACGACGACGATGATGATGATGATGATGTTGATGATGTGGCTGTTGATGAGGTTGGGGATGCCCCACCTAAATCTGATGTAGGCATCGGTAAGAAGAGACGAGTTGGGACATCTTCTACAGCTTCTTCGCACTTTCCACAGCGTGGGCTAGATGGACGCTACGTTGCGAGACGTAGTAGTGAGGAAGACGGTGATGGTAAGAAGAGGAAGAAGGGAGTAAGGGGGGACATGTCGTGGCGTCTGACATCGGAGTCTCAGATGTGTTCAGGTGGACCTGTGATTCCCGATGTGATCCCTAGCTTTGGAGGTCACATTGCCTTTGCACTGTGGACTTCCCCAGCACAGGATCGTGGGTTGTTGGATTGTTGTCATAGATCTGGTACTGTGGAGTCTTTGAGGAGGTATGAGTGGAGTTCAGAGGGTTCTCAGAAGGTGGTTGAGGGCACAGGATTGTCCCACTTGGCAGGCTGTATGATGCAGCATTTAGATACAGCTTTGATAACGGCATTTGTGGAGAGATGGCAGCCGGACACGAACACCTTCCATATGCCATTTGGAGAGATGTCGATTCTTCTCCACGACGTGCATCACATTCTTCGTATTCCAGTTGAGGGGGAGCTGATGAGAGATGATCCGAATCCAGATGTTCTTAAGTTAGACATGCATGATCTAGTTCGGGTCCCGGTGGATGGTCCTGTTGGTGGTAAGTGGAAGTCGAAGTGGTTCCTTAATGGTGGTATTCACGCAGAGGGATTGTTGGTGCGTGGGCGAGAAATGAAGATTAGGGACTTGGAGGTGCAGACTTACTTGTTTGTGTAGTTGGGATCTCACATTCCTGTCTACATGCCAAAGGCATAGTATATGAGTCGATGATGGAAACATTACCCCCACGGTCTCAACCAATCCTCCTGCTTTGTCACTAACAAATACATCTGGAGTAATAGGGGCAAGCAAATGTTGCAGATGCGTGAGAAGCCACTGGTACGACTCTTTTGTCTCGTCATACACTAGCGCAGATGCAATGACAAAGTTCAATCCCACCGGTGTCATGCCAACAATCTCAACCCATGGAAACTCATACTTGTTGGTCTTGTATGTTGCATCTATCACAATGACATGGTGCCAAGCTCGCAACATCAATATTGACTCAGGGTGGGCTAGGAACAAGTGTGTAAGCACGTTACGGTCATCCACATACTGCACATAGTAACCCTTCTCCAGAGCATCTTGAAAAGTGTACTGTAAGGCTGTCCTCTGACCAAGCTCTTCTTTTCTTATCTTATACAATGCGTTAGAAATCTGTCTTTTGTTCACCTTTCCATGCTCCTCTTTTCTCTCGTTCACTGCCTTGTGGATATTCCTTGGGGCGACACCGGCTAATCTCAGTTGTCTGATGTATTGCTTATCATCTTCGGTCAAAACATTCCTCTTACTTGATCCATTCGGAAATAGCTCCAGCGGATGATTGTGAAAACCCAAATTAGCACCAGGATTCTTTCTATTAGCCACTGCTAGTATCAACCAATATCCATCATCTGACCGCTCAATCTTGATCTGAAATTCACACCCCAACTTTCCAGAAGAAGTAAGAGGCCTCCTTTCCTTAGCCGGATCAGAATTAGGAGCCTTCGAATTTTTCTTCCTACCATGAGTGCACTTCAAGTATCGTCGCCTACTATCTTCACTTGGATTTTTTTTATTTGATGCCTTCACCAAATAAAACCCAAAACCCTTGGCAATCTCAGTAGCTGCTGCATATGCAATCAAATCTGTATCGTATTTTATTCCATTGACGAATTCTGAGGTGTAATCTTTGCCATCCCCTCCGTAATCATCAATATCCTACAATGTTAGATCTCATAATATAAGTAGGACTCCACAATAATAGAAAATCTAACGACTACATTTAATTTAATAATTATCACAAATAATTTAGCATTCTCTATATTATCCTAAGCAAAATCCAACATTTAACACGACAAAATTTAGCATTCTCTATTATTTACATACTATACATCTAATGTAAGAACCATATTAATCACATTCTATAATTTTTTTATTGCGTATTATACATCTAATCTTAATTTTGTATACAAAAACAATCAATTTCACAAATAATTAGGCTTATAAATTTTAAAAATAATATAAACTAAAATTCAATAAACAATCTTATAGACCAAACTATAAATGATAACAATAAAATAGAAATATTTGATATAAATAATTTTTTTATTGCGTATTATACATCTAATCTTAATTTTGTATACAAAAACAATCAATTTCACAAATAATTAGGCTTATAAATTTTAAAAATAATATAAACTAAAATTCAATAAACAATCTTATAGACCAAACTATAAATGATAACAATAAAATAGAAATATTTGATATAAACTTAAAAAAACCCAAAAACCACCAATAGAAGCAAATTTCCGGTTCAACCATGGCTAAACCTAACCAAATTTTCGGTTTCACCATGGCCAAACCGAAATACAGGTTCGGTGCCACCGTGGACCAACCGAAACCATTTTTCATTTCACCCATGGCACAAACGAAGCAGATTTTCGGTTCATCCATGGCTCAACCGAATGTGATTTTCGGTTGGTCCATGGTTCAACCGAAACCGAATTTCGGTTGGACCATGGACCAACCGAAAATCACATTCGGTTGAGATTTTTTTTTTTTTAAAAACGAGAATTTTTACCTCGTCGGAGTCGCTACTCATTGTTCGGACGTATGCTCGACGATTTCGGCTTCCAAATGTCGATGATGAATTCGAGAGTGTGGGAGAATGAGTGTTTTTTGTTTTCTAAGTGAATGTGGTGTTTGTTTGCTAAAGGAAAGGTAAAGATGTCAAAAGGTTAAAAGTGTAACTTTGTTGTTTTTTAGGACGATCATTAGTAATTGTTAGGACGACCTTTATCAACTCCCTAAAAAAATCTCTCGCAAAACGTGAATAATAGGATAAAGGCTTTACCGGTACATAATGACCATTTAATTTATCCAAAT